AGGCTCTGAACAAATCCCATAAACTGCCAGCGCAGACTACAAAATGGCAAGAAAAGTTGAAGACTTTTTCCAGTCTCCTGTAGAAGAGAAGCACCACATTTTGTCTCATGGAAGGGCCAACATACTGCACATACCAAAACAGATAAGGTGTCGGTTAATGAGCAGGAGGACAGCTTAAAACAGTGTCTAAAAATAGCCATTGATATAAACTCCTGCAGAATGTACCAATAAATCCTCTCATGGAATTGGCAAAATAAGATCTATACAATTTCAAATGCCATGAGACGATACATAGATTTAGTCAGCTTTAACGAAGACATGATGATACTTGGTTTCATGTGGCATTTACTACACACGTGTGTAATGTCTAATAATGCACATGTTTGTGTGTTGTGTTTTATATTGCATGTGTGTATATGAAGTGTTTTATATTGCATGTGTGTGTGTGTAGCATTTTATATTGCACCTGTGTATATGTAGTGTTTTATAAAACGTGTGTGTGTAGTATTTTATATTGCATGTGTGTATATGTAGTATTTATATTGCATGTGTGTATGTGTAGTATTTTATATTGCATGTGTGTATATGTAGTGTTTTATATTGCAAGTGTGTATATGTAGTGTTTTATATTGTATGTGTGTATATGTAGTGTTTTATATTGTATGTGTGTATATGAAGTGTTTTATATCGCATGTGTGTATATGTAGTGTTTTATATCGCATGTGTGTATATGTAGTGTTTTATATTGTATGTGTGTATATGAAGTGTTTTATATCGCATGTGTGTATATGTAGTGTTTTATGTTTTATATTGCATGTGTGTATGTGTAGTGTTTTATATTGCATGTGTGTATGTGTAGTGTTTTATATTGTATGTGTGTATATGCAGTGTTTTATATTGCATATGTGTATGTGTAGTGTTTTATATTGCACGTGTGTATATGTAGTGTTTTATATTGCATGTGTGTATATGTAGTGTTTTATATTGCATGTGTGTATCTGTAGTGTTTTATATTGTATGTGTGTATATAAAGTGTTTTATATTGCATGTGTGTATATGTAGTGTTTTATATTGCATGTGTGTATGTGTAGTGTTTTATATTGCATGTGTGTATATGTAGTATTTTATATATTGTATGTGTGTATATGCAGTGTTTTATATTGCATATGTGTATGTGTAGTGTTTTATATTGCATGTGTGTATATGTAGTATTTTATATATTGTATGTGTGTATATGCAGTGTTTTATATTGCATATGTGTATGTGTAGTGTTTTATATTGCATGTGTGTATATGTAGTGTTTTATATTGCATGTGTGTATGTGTAGTGTTTTATATTGCACGTGTGTATATGTAGTGTTTTATATTGCATGTGTGTATATGTAGTGTTTTATATTGCATGTGTGTATATGTAGTGTTTTATATTGCATGTGTGTATATGTAGTGTTTTATATTGTATGTGTGTATATGAAGTGTTTTATATCGCATGTGTGTATATGTAGTGTTTTATATTTCACATGTGTATGTGTAGTATTTTATATTTCACAAGTGTAAGTGTAGTTTTTTATATTTCAGGTGTGTATATGAAGAATGGCATACATGTTTTGAAATATGTGTGTAAAAGGTAATGATATATATTACACGTGTATATATATAGTGCTGTAGCATGTGTCATATATTGAATGACCCAACATATGTGCATACATGTAAATATAGTACATAACACCTGTGTATAGATAGGTATATTCCACTTGTTTTATAAGTGTGTTGTAAATTACATGTGTACATAAGTAGCGTGATACACTGCTGTGTTTATATGTAGTGTGTATTTTACACATGTTTATATGTAGTGTGGTATTTTACACGTGTTGATATGAAGTGTGGTATTTTACACGTGTTTATGTGTAGTGTGGTATTTTACACATGTTTATATGTAGTTTGTGTTTATATGAAGTGTGGTATTTTACACGTGTTTATATGTGTAGTGTGGTTGTTTACACATGTTTATATGTAGTTTGGTATATTACACATGTTTATGTGTGGTATTTGTAGTGTGGTATTTTACACATGTTGTGTTTATGTGAAGTGTGGTATTTTACACATGTTGATATGTAGTGTGGTATTTTACACATGTTGATATGTAGTGTGGTATTTTACACGTGTTTATATGAAGTGTGGTATTTTACACGTGTTTATATGTGTAGTGTGGTTGTTTACACATGTTTATATGTAGTTTGGTATATTACACATGTTTATGTGAAGTGTGGTATTTTACACGTGTTGATATGTAGTGTGGTATTTTACACGTTTATATGTAGTGTGGTATTTTACACGTGTTTATATGTAGTGTTATGTGTAGTGTGGTATTTTACATGTGTTTATATGTAGTGTGGTATTTTACACATGTTTATATGTAGTGTGGTATTTTACACGTGTTTATATGTAGTGTGGTATTTTACACATGTTGATATGTAGTGTGGTATTTTACACGTGTTTATATGTAGTGTGGTATTTTACACATGTTTATATGTAGTGTGGTATTTTACACGTGTTTATAGGTAGTGTGGTATTTTACACATGTTATATGTAGTGTAGTATTTTACACATGTTATATGTAGTGTGGTATTTTACACGTGTTTATATGTAGTGTGGTATTTTACACATGTTTATATGTAGTGTGGTATTTTACACATGTTATATGTAGTGTTGTATGCAACATGTATGTATAGGTGTGATTGTACATTAAATGTATTACTTTTTTTCTGATTCACTATAAGGTGGAGATCAAATCAAATCAGTAAGTTACCAACATAGCCTGAGTTAAATCCTTTTTCAGGGAATCACACAATGTACTTGATTAATTTGGGAAGTTGTCTATTTTCGGTTTTGTATAGTCTTTCGGGTCGTTCTTGCTATTTTTTCTCATATTTTTCTCATGACACATTGAAAATAAAAATCCCTGTTATAGTTGAGCAATCATTTGTGACGGTTATGTGAGTGGGAGTGACATAGTAAAATAGAGATACGGAAACAGAACAATGGAATGTTAGGTGGGCGGGATGCTGGGAAGGGTTCATAATACAACAGCTTTTGTTGTGGTGGAACATCCGTGTGGTAGTTTGTAAACTTAATGTCGATCAAAACAATGACATAATTCAACATATTGAGTAGATATTGACAAGGGAATTCATTACTTTACAATGAAGGACACAGTTTGGAGATATGTAGCAATCTTTTCCTTTCATAAAGCATGTTAAATTATCTGGCACATCTTTATGGTAACCATATATATATAGAGCATCGTATCCCTGAGGACAAGGGAGTGTAAAGGTAATGTGAATAGGATTGGGGCGAAGAGCCTTAGGGTAAGTATATAACTATGGAATCATACCTCTTCAATATATATTGCTCTAGAAATGACTTTCAACTTGATGCAGCATAATGATAAAAGAATTTCTCTACAAAGTTTTGTCTATTATATCATTTATCGTTTGGCAAAAATTTAATGAGATGAATCTCCACCAGGTATCAAATGAACCCATGCATGTATTTAAAATACAGGTTAATGGCAACTGTTTTAAATGAAAATTGGATATGCTTTGAAACAAATCCATTTACTTATATTTTACATGTTGCTTATTATCTGCACATATATTTAAAAGGCATAACAAGCTGAAAGTCCATAAGTTACAGGAAATGTTATTACGCAACAAGGCAAATAATCTGATATATTTCTGAAATAGAAAATTTTATGACACACTATGTCCCCGCTTGCAATAAAATTCTTAAGTGGGACGTAAAAACTGTACCGTGTAAGGCATGTGCTAACTGCATGCACATTTATTTGTGCTTGTACTTGTGTTTTCATAATGGTAATGATTTTGTTTGTTTGTTTACTTTCAAATGTACGTCAAAAGTCACGGTCAAGGCCACGTGGTCAAAAATATTTCTACCACCGGGAAGGCCTCTTCAAAAAGAACACACATGCCAAATATGAAAGCCCTACCTGTTCCGGTGCAATAGCTATGGGCAAGGTTAACCTTGACAACAGACAGTACAAAAACAAATGTCCCCAATCTTTGGATCTACAATAATAAAAATGTAGTTGAACATAAATATGTAACTTTTAATGTATAACACTTAAAAAACTGAAAGCCCGTCTTTTATTTTTATCGTGGTTGTGAGAATGAATCAGGTTAAAGCGTGGGTTTTTTCCGCAAAAAGTGTCCCGGTTTGTGTTCTGTTACAAAACAAGATACCGATAGTTACAGACGGAACAACACTAACTCAATGTTATCAATTTAAATTAATTATATTAGCAACTTACGGAATGTGATGTACCCATTTCTTTCTATGTATATATGTCGTTTTAACAAGGTCATTCAAATATGACACCCCTTTTGACAAAGTGACCTGCGATTGGGCTTCACTGAAGTTCTGAAATTATGGACTATCTAAAAGATTTGCAAATAATCTACAGTTTTGAAAATTGGAGTGAAAATCGAGGGTCTCCCTCCCAGGTAAATTTAGGATTTTCATTGTATAGTTGTTGAATCACGGACTTAGATATATCCAGGATACTAATATAAGTAATATCTGCACCAACCCGCCTCCTGTAAAAGGTTCGAAACGTTCTCTATGATAAGGCAAGTATACATCTTCATATTCGGACATTGTCACCCACTATGCAAGGGAGTTAATCCTGTTTTAAACTAGGCATATACGCCTTTGTGTTACTGGTGGCTCCTATGTATTGAACTTTTAAATTACTTCATTCACTTTTAATTGATGTACTTAAGGACATCTATGTAGTTATTTTGTATAGATTTTTAGTGTTAAAGAATTCTAATTAATTAAACCGGTCGATTACCCCTCGCGTGGGCCTCTCGGGTAAACCAGGAAGTTCTGATTTTGGGAAAAGATCTTTAACGCTGTTGTTTATTGGTCGATGTTACGCAACGAAGAGGTGTTGGTATTTGCGCCACTTCTGCAGATATGAGACGGAATATGAGCAGCTGCCAGCACCTGTAGTCATAACTAAAGTTATCATATTGTCGGGTAGGTAATTAAGATTATCAACATTAATATTGTTATTACACTTTAATATCACAATGAATATATATTTCTACGTATACTAGATCTACGTACATCAGTATGTAAATAACCACTTAATTAAGCCTGCAGTCACGTCATCAGATACGACTCCGTCAATCACGCATTGTCAAGTGTGTATACGTACCGAGTCAATCACGCATTGTCAAGTGTGTGTACGTACCGAGTCATATAAACAAAAATATTTATGTTTTTTTTTTATATTCACATCCTTGAACATCGACCACTTAGAGTCACATAGTGCCTTAAGGGGCCGAGATTGCACGGACCTGATGCTGCCCTTTAATACTATTTTGCAGTTACCATGAATTTAATTGATTTACAAACAGTTATTGAATTCTGTAGAAATGTTAAACATTCATGTTTTATTTTTGTGTTCAAAGTGTATAAAATTATAAGATACACTGAAGTTGGTAGGTGCACAGATAATGTTTCTTACCTGGAAATTCTGTGGACTCCATGTTCAGTGGGTGATCTATAAGGAGGCGATTCACTGCTAGGCCATCGCACAGAACTCTATATGACTGTTTCCAATAACAAAAAGTTATTGAAAAAAAATTCTTAACATAACATACAATATACAATAATTTGTTAGAAAAATAAGATATTGAAAATTCAATATTGATATCACAGAATTATTTGAATGGATGATAATTACCTGCTTGAATAAGTGATATGATATTTGATAACATGAATTCATGTTTTAATGATATACCTATGGGTGATATCTTTAATTAACAGACACTTCCAATATTGATGATATCACTGATTAACATTTTAATGACATCACCTGCTATAAATGATACCCTCAACTGTTTTTTTTTCGATTATATTACCTTTATTGGTGATATTGTTAATGGCTAGTTTTAGATGTATCATTAATTAATTAGTGATTTCAGTATTCTGTTATATAAATAAATGAAATTAGTGACATCCCAGATTTAGGATGTTTTTAAATGGTGTGAGTTGTCCTTCTGGTTTGTGGTATCTCTTTTTGAAATGATTATCAATTAATTGAATAATAACCTCACCAGTGACATTTCAATTAGTGTTATAATTTAGAAAATCATGGTTGTTGTCTCATGTGTGACAGGGTTGTGAAGTGAAACAGCCGGTAGTTTGTTTATGTTTAATTCTGAATTGTTCAATAAAATTACAAGTATTATCATCACCAAACCTGCTTATTGGTTATATTTAAGCAAGAAATCTTAGTACATATTTTTAATTAAGATTCTAACATAAAGTCAACAATTATTTCCATTTGTTAATTAATAGTGTCTTGTTTAGTTTTCCATTTAGATAAACAGTGAGCTTGATTTCTTTTCGTACATAACCATACTAATGTCTATCTATAAACATCCAAAAAGACGTTTCTAATTCTGATTTTCACCTACAGTTTTCTGTTAATTGGACTTAATCAATTTTGCCATGTTAGCCTAATGTTGAACTTCATTTCTCTCCAAGTTCGTACACATATCTATCATAACCAACACATCCCAAAACATATTTCAGATTCTGAATTTCACCTTGTGAACAGTTGTCTGTAAATTGAAATTCCATCCTTTTAACAACATTTCAACATCAATATGGTGTTAATTTTTTCTAATGTTATGTGCATTAAATTCTGATGTCAGAATAATGTTATGATTTGAAATTTATTGATGATGATGTTAAAAATGTTAATGTTCGAATGATGTCATAGTACATCCTTCTGATGTTAAATATTTCCAACACTATATTAATTTAAAATAAATGTTAAAAAATTTCAATGTAACTGTAATGTTATTTTATCTTTAAATGAAATTATTCAATGTTAAAGTAATGTAAAATATTAACATTATTTTCATACATTTGTGTTCATTTCATGTGATTTGATGCTAAAAATTTAATGTTAAAATAACATTACTTTTATGTTATTTAACACCATGAAAAATTGGTAGTTTAGTGACTTAAGTGTTTATAAACTGTTAACCCTTTGTTGACCTTGAAATCAGTTCTAAAAAAATGTGTATAAGCTTCCATTTCAATTTTGAAAAATTAATCCTGTCGAACAACTCATAATTTTGTTTCAAGTATCCTTTGGCTGAGGAAATAAATGTTACTCTGTTAGCTTTCTTGTGTTTATCATCCTGTGAACAATGAGCCTCATTTTGAGGGGGTTCTGTTTGCAGTAGTAGTAGGCTACCTCACTGAACACCATACAGAAGGCCTGACTGGGGTGGTCTCTGAACACCTACTTTTTTTAACAATAGGAAGGTGTTGTTTTTAGAAACAAATGCAAATCAATCACTTACTGTTTCAAGGTTTCTTTATTCACTCAGACTCATGTATGTGTAACAAGGGGTTATTACAATTCAATTTTACAAAATTTAAGGAGCGATGATAGACATAATATATTGTATACAGTTCATTGGGTTAATGGACAATTGTTCCAAATCGATACAAAAAACTATTACAACCAATATTGGCTAATATACGAAGTAAGCTTAATATTACTTAATTTTTACAGAACGAAATCATAGCAGGTTTGATAATTTTCGTACAAATAGGCTTACATTAATTAACAACTTTTTGTTAAATATTGTAAACATTCCATTCATTTTATAATAGTTTGGATTCGTATAGAAGTAGGACGGGATGAATTTATGTCTTAACTGTAGTACATTATCATTATTACAAATAAACAAAAAATGGAATTCGTCACCTATACCAGTGTCACATAATGGACAAATTCTGTTCTCTCGTTGGACTCCTGTCCATCTTCCTGTTTCAACAGGAATTTTTATATTGGAAGTTCTGAATTTACATATTACTTTCCACTCTTTCTCATTTAGACGTTTTAAATAATCTTCAATTTCGAAGTGATTTTAAAATATACTGTATGTTTGTCCTCGTGTTGAAGTTGCCAACTGCTGAAACCTATTTTGAATAAACTGATCGTGTAATGTTTGTTTAACTTTAATTCTTTAAATAGTTAACATTGGGTATGCATGAATTCTGATGTACCCAGACAAAACTAAGTCCGACACTCTAAAATACCTTTAACATAATTGATCTATTTGAACTGAGTTTGTCCAGCTTCATTAAGAGAATACATTAGTCTGTACATATGACTAGATAACTTATTTTCATTTGTGATTAAATTATACCATAAATTTATCATTCTCAATTTTATATCAACTCTAATCGGATATCTTCCTGTCTCTCCATATATCATAAAATTGGAGGTGTGTTTTCTTAAACTGAGCACTCGTTTGCAAAACTGCAAATGTATTGTTTCCAATCGACTGGTATTTTCATATCCGCATATATTGTCAGTAGTAGAATGACCTTTTTTAAAACCCGCCTGGGCTTTGCTGATAAGGCCGGTTTCATCAGATAGTTTATATAACCTGGTATTCAGTATCGATGTCAAAACTTTACCCAAACATGAAACAAGCTGTATAGCTCTATAATTATCCAAATTCTTAGGATCGCCTTTATTTTTGTAAATGGGTTTGATTATCCCAGTACTCCAGCTTTCAGGTATTAGACCAGTGTCTAATATAATGTTAAATAGTTTAACATAAATTGGTAACATAGTGTCAAGTGTACTCTTCATGTACTCATTATATATATCATCTATACCACATGCTTTATTATTTTTCAAATTCTTAACAGAGTAGACAATCTCTTCAGTAGTGACTGGACCGTTTAATATATTATCATACTGATTTCCCGCATTCAATTCTGGAACTTCAAAATCTTCATCTTCTCCATCTTGAAGATTCAAATTTTTAAGATATTCGTACAAATCGTCAATAGGCATGTCAACTTCATGTGAATTATTCCGTTTATCAATTATATTAAGGATATCCCAGAATGCCTTTGGATCATGCTTAGAAATTTTTCTAATATAAGCCATCTTTTTATCACCCAGATTTTTACCTGAGATTTACCTTTGTGTCATACAATACATTTTTTTACATGTTTGATGAGTGATCCATTGGAAAACTTTGAAATGTTGTTAGTTAATGTTTTATATTTATATAATGTAATAACTTTGTTATTTAAAGTTAAGTATATACATATGATATGAAATTTCACATGAAAAAAGAGAATAATTAAATTTAACAATTCATCATTAAATTATATATTAAAAACATTAAATTATCATATGGCCTTACAATACCACTAAAGACTATAAAATGAAAATTATTTCCACTAGATAAAAAAAACACAAGTTATTGAAACATATCAAAATTATGTAGCTAATAAAATTATGTGTCAAGACAAAATTTGATGTTAGCCAGCAAATATGTGATGAAATATATTATTCATCATTATTCAAAATTTTGCAAGTTATCACTGGGTTTTTTAAAAATACATCAAACTACATAGTTTACAAACTCACAACGATTGGTGGTGGATGGCCTTAGACAGTAACAGTTACGTTGCAACCATATAAATGGGCTTGTCCAAGGCCTTGGACTGTGTCCCCCATGGACTATTACTAGAAAAGTTGAAGGCGCATGGATATTGCTGTGAGACTAATTGAGAAATACCTGACTGGAAACAATGTGTTGGGTAGACTCAAGTATTAGCTCTTTTAAAAACCTAATCACAGGTGTCCCTCAAGGCTCATTATTAGGGCCATTGATTTTTAACAATTTTATAAATGATATTTTTTCATTTTACTAAAGAATCCAAACTATTTAACAATGCAGATGACAATACACTTAACTAAGAATTTAAACATTTTAGAAGAAATTCTGCAGAACTAATTTTAACCATGATTGATTGATTTGCAAACAAGAAAATGACAGGCAATCCAGATAAATTTCATGCGATCATTGTAGGAAAGAAAACGGTAAAAGGGGACATTGTCTTAAGAAAAATGACATTCAGATCAATGTGAGGATGATGTCAAACTTTTGGGTATGAATATTGATTCTGTTTCAAATTTTGACGCCTGCATTAAACACATCTATTCCAAAGTCTCTGGACAAAAAAATGTCCTGGCACAAATTGCTAACGATTTGACACTAGAAGGGCGAAAGGCAATTTACACAGCTTTCATTTGATCAAATTCCAATTTCTGCCTTCTTATATGGCATTTCTGCTCCAAAGCAAGCATCCAAAAATTAGAGTGAATTAATTTTAGAATATTTTAGTTTGTTTATCATTATTTTAATTCATCATATGAAGAACTTTTAGAAGAAATGTAACCAGTATACACCAGAAATAAACAGAATAAGAAATTTTGCTATTGAAACTTCAAAAAGATTTTACAAGCTCTTCACCAATTGCTATCTTAAGGATTATATTCATGTAAAACCTTCTAACTAGAAAGTCAGAAAGGTCATCTAATAAAATTGTAATTACAGATTTCCCATTAGGCTGTTAACATTTTGAATGCTTCATTTACACATTATACAAACTTGTATTAAAACTTTGCATGAAAGGAGGAAAACAAATTTAATAGAATTATTTTTGAAATGTCCAGATAAAAAAGATTAGGACTGTTCAAAATCACTCTTAAATTGTCATTATTGATTAATTTGCTATAGCTTTAACAATAGCATTCTATTTTCTTCCTCAAATAAATTTTTGTTGAATTATAGTTTTTTCTCAGTAACGTACTTTATATCTTTATTGATGATTTAAGGCCTTTCTGTACAACACATTCAATGATGGGCTTACACCAGATAAAATTCATTAAAAATTGTTACATATAATCATCTTATGGCTGGTATTTATATCATTTTGATGGGTTTTTGATGAGGAACACTTCAAGTATGTGTTCATAAACATCGTTGTCTTTATTCTTTAACAAGTTTCTTTTTCAGCTTCTAGAATTGAATCTGACAATAAACCCAATTGTCTGACGCCATTTACATTTCATAACAGTTAGGTAGAATTAGCAAGAACTGCTGTTTCATTGTCATGTTGACCTTCAGGGCTATTACCTGGTTATTGTAAGGTAAATACAGGGTGTTTTTTCAATGTTTTGCAAATAGCATATAGAATATACATACACACCAGGTATTATAACAGAAATTTGTACAAGATGGCAGAGAACATTTGCCACCATGTATACATACACAAAAACCATGACATAACCCACTATGTCATAACATTATGACGTCATCATGAAAAACTATTAACAAGCAACCATAACAGGAAGCGGGCTAATAAAATAACATAAGTCCACAATATTCTATTTGTACCAATGTAGAAATTGATGTGCACTATTTTCGCTCACAACTTTATGAAAAGAGTAAGGAAATCAATATACAACCCTGTATAAATTTCACATTCATATTACATCTAAACATTAAAGATGTATTTAGTAACTTATATATGCAATAATAACTTTCTCCTGGTTGTAGTGTGAATTAGATACCTAACAAAAATACGAAAACTTTTCACATTATTGCTAGAAACAGCCGAATCAATTTGAAAACAGAGTGGTCGACAATGAAAGTATGATTTGATATATAATTATCTTATTTCTGAATATGCTGGATATAGTAGTATAAAATGAGTTTCATCCTCAACTTCATTTTTGTCACAAGGGTGCCACAGTCTTCTAGTTGTATGAAGGCCATCGTATCTTCCAGTCTCAACATTTAGTGTATGGGCATTCAATATATACTTAGAAATGATCATTTTGATCTTTAAAAGTGGCTTGTTGAGATAGGATTGTGTAACAAACTGTTCTTTTACATAGCACTGGACACTTTCATATATAGATTTAACAACATTCAACAGTCCTTTAAAAAGAATGTCATAATCATTGCTCTCCAGGCTTTATTTCTTGTCGCCGATCGACTGGGCTTTAAAAAACAAGGATCTTTTAACCATGAAGAATTTTCATAGCCTTTTCAGGTGTATTTCATGAGCCTTTTGGTGGATAAGTATAGTTAATACAAAGTCAGCAAAACTAAAGCTAAATGCCAAGCTATGTATATTTTATCTTATTGTTTCACTACCAGTCAGGAACTTTTCAGATCATTAGGAAATTCAGAAATAGAGGAAATGCTCTGAACAGAAAAGAATTCTAAACCAAGTCATGGACGTAGCAAAATTTTCTCTTTTCCCCCCCTTTTTTTTTGTTGTTGTTTTTAACCAGTTCTTAGTCAAAGATGGCCCTGGCTGCTCATTGACTCACGATTATCATTTTTTTGGGGTAAACTTCCACATGACTGAGAGTGAAGAAATAAGATCTGATTTATGTCTTCATGGTTTGGAATGGCTGTTTTGATTTGGTTTATAAATTGTAAGTCCAAATTGACTTCCTTAGTCTATAATTTGCTAACAAAAAAATTTTGACGAGTCCCTAATTTAACCAGATCAGAAATACGGAAACAACATGTTTACGATATCATACCAAAGAACAAGTGACTGCCATACATGTGCTATCTAGGAAACCTGACACACCATGGTGTGATTAATAAAACCCAAATTATCTCAATTTTCCTTTTAAGTGCCATAGCTTGATATATTCTTCAACCACTTGTACCAGGAAATTTTGTAATAACTGAAGGATAATTGTAGGAGTGACAAAAGTGAGGATACTTCCTGTCTAATGGAAGATAAGGAAGTTTGAAGTTATCTGTATACATTGACCAGACCTGAAACCGGATCTGAAAGTCAAACTTGAATGCAGTAAATTCATGTGTTGCTGTGTTTATACCCATATCTTTTTGCATAAGTTTTCATTGAAAAAAGAAAAGATTTCATTGATTAAAGAAAATCTGTCAGGTAATACAAACAATCACACTATGTCATCTTGGTGTTGGTGTGTAACCCAGGATAAAATAGTGAATAATATTTGAAGTAGGATTATCAAACCTTATAGGTAAGTATAAGGTATACAAAACTGGATCTTACCAAATTTCAGACTGCAATGTTTTAATTTCATTTCTATAAACATCATTTGAAGTGTATTTCTCTTGTTTAATTTGTGTATAAACCCATCATAATTACTCAAAATAAATGAGTTTTTATATGTAGTATGGAAAGGTTAGAAATGCTGTTTATCACCCTGTGGATGATATCTATATATCGTCATAGTGATGATATCTTTATATCACCATAGTTATGACATCATTGTCACCATAGTGTCATTGTTATAGACATTTTCCTCAAAATATCATCGACCATTACAAATTATTAGATCAATTTTAGTTCACCTGTTTACAGGTCACAGAGGTCAAAATTGTTACAAACATTTAATGGCTGGTTCCCAATAACCAAAAGGCCCAGGATTATTGTATTGGATAAGTAGCATGCTGGGATAAAGGGATTTAATTTTGATTCAGATGTATGACTTTGAACCATTTTCAAGGTCATATAGTGTCAAATATGCTTAGATCTTAGTTCAACATTTTTTTCAGTAGCCAAAAGCCAAGGGTTATGTCACCAGACCTAGCATGCTGGGGTGAAGGATCACAATAAAGTCAATTTAACAAAATTATGTTGGTGTTCATCCATATTCACCGCAGACAAATTAGATTAAATCTTTTGAATGAAAAACTGCTGAATGTTATGATATCTGGCTAAAAGTATACTTAACTGAAAAGCAACAAAATCACTTCAGATGAATACTCTTTATCCTAGCTCACTAAAGTCAAATATGTTGAAATCTTCAAATAAGTTTTTGACAGTCGAGAGATCCTCATTTTTGTTATTTCACTTATACACTGTATATATACTGTAAGGTGAATAAGAAAGTTTGAGAATAAACTCTCCCGATATTATTATAAGTCTTAACTGCTTGCTATATCGTCATCATCTGTTTTAGGTGACTATACTTAATGATTTATGATATCATATCAAAATAACACAGAGATATCAAAATTGAATTACAAGGCAAATGTCGTAATATGATACACATCACAAAAAATCCTTTCACTCCTGTTGGTTTGACTGAATTACCTTCCTTTTCAGAAATATATCAGGAAAACAATTAGATATGATGTCATTCTGATGATAACACCACTAATGAATATATATATATATATACAGGAACACTTTGTAAAACAAGACAAGATGGATGAAGAAGATTTGTATGATCAGATGGTTGAACCGAACAGATGTACACTTATTAAGTATATAGAAACAGAAGATATTGTGGATGAGCTGAGACAAAAGAAAACCATCAGCGTTGATGACTATGATGAGGTCCATGCCTGTGCTGGACGAAGACGGAGAACAGGTACGGGCTGTGTTTAGTATGTGGTGCTTGGTTAATCAAAATCATAAGAGAAAAAAGGATTTTTTTTAATGATATTTTCGATTTCATAAAAATCCTTTACTTATCTCAATAAATTCCAAAAAAATTAACAAACCACACAGGAGCAAATACTGCCTAAAATGGTGACTTTGTCTACACATTAGTCTAGACAAAACATGTTATATATAAAAGTGTGTTTCAGGAATATTGACTGTTAAGGTAGCAGCCTGATTAAGAAATGACTCCAGATTCCTAGTATTACACAATCATGAATGTCTGTTTTATAATTTTCTTTTTTCTATTTAACACTTGACCTTGTAGAACAAATCAGACTTTGTCAATGTTTTGATAGAGGGCTTCATTGCAAGCAATCCCCAATTCTTGGAAGATGTACAAAAGCTGGAAGGAGGGGGCTTATTTGCCGGGGGATTGAGGCCTATTTACAGAGGAGTACATTAATAAACCAGTAACTTTGGGACTCAAATTTCATACAGGAACAATAAGACATAAAATTATAATATATACAAACTTACATAGGAAACATCATCTAGTAAGAATCCTGCAAAGGTCACTATATCAGGTTTTATTTCCCACAGTTTTTGGGGACAAAATGAAATTGGGAGAAGAAAAACTGCAATAGATTTTATTCTTTACTTAAAACTTTTTCAGTTCAGTGTCAAGTTCTATCTGTCTATAGGTTAACTTTTGTGTTGACAAGTTTGACCCAGTTCTTATAAAACTGCAGTAATAAAGTCATGTTGTCAGTATTTGTGTTTGCACTCTTTTCTTTCACCTGTCTTTTGATAAAGAGTTCAACACTGTGTTCCTTGAATTGTTAGATCTTTTAATATTTGCTTAGTAATTTTGTGAACAAATTCAATACAATCACCACACTTGGAAAATGTGCTTTTGATCTTATTTTTGATGTAACCTTTGATTGATCAATGACCCTTTTCAGTTTTTTTTAATAAACTTTATATTTTATTGTAACTTGCATATATACGCATGTTCATTAGAAAGTCTTTTTTCAAAACAATGTTTACATATTATACATCTATTCCAGGCAAGAATACATGACAGATTTGATTTGAAAAAACAGTGTTTCATGTTTCTCTATTTAGCAAAGCTTTTAGACATCTTACAAACGAAAGGGGACAGAGGCGTGCAAGACTTTTTCAAGACCATTGAGATGGTTTATCCTGACTTGTATCAGGCAGTGACAGGGAAATCTCCCCAGAAACCGCCTCCAAGTGAGTATTACAGAAGGTTGCCCACAAAGGGACATTGAATGCATTGGTTTACATGCGAGTTAAATTCTGTGAATAGGATTAGCCAGTGTAAGTGATATAGAGATAACAGAAAATACAGGTGTGGTATATTACATTTCTTACAGAAAAAAACAAACAAAAGTGATTGATATACCATATACTACAACCACAGGTTTGTGTGACATGTTTCTACAATAAAAAAATATACCAAAGTTGCATTCACTCATGTTATCTGTTGGAGTGTAATAGTATTACCTTTATTTGATTAGTAATTAGATAATAGGCTAATATGTGATAGTGTTTGATAGTGTAATATGTAATAGTGTTTGATAGTGTAATATGTGATAGTGTTTGATAGTGTAATATGTGATAGTGTTTGATAGTGTAATATGTGATAGTGTTTGATAGTGTAATATGTGATAGTGTTTGATAGTGTAATATGTGATAGTGTTTGATAGTGATAATAGAGTAATATGTGATTGTATTTAATGGTGATAATAGAGTAATATGTGATTGTATTTAATGGTGATAATAGAGTAATATGTGATTGTATTTAATGGTGATAATAGTAATTGATTTAATTTGTTTCAATTACCCATAGAGTCGAAGACTCTTTTCACATATGGCCTAATATATCAAATATATATGATGGTGATGTAAAGTCTACACACCACCAGACAATATTTTGTGGCGATGTGAAGCTGCATGATAAGTATATCAACTGAAAATTCTAGAAAAATGTGCTGGCTATGTTTTTTCAATGCATTTCTAATGGTATGATATCCTATGCTATAACTCATTATCTTGGACTGTTTTACATTTGACAGACTATTTGATAAGAAGTAGTCGAATGCCGTCTTTACACACCATAAACCACCTTCCACAACTTGCCCAGGACCTGAAGACGCAGTACCAGAATAACAAACAACTAGTTCAACAACTCCAGGAACTAGAGAATGCCATGGTGTTTGAACAGAATGACAACAAAGAACTGGAGGTACATAACATTAAGACATTACACAAGCAACTTAAGACATCATTTATTGGAATAATGTCTGGGAAAATTTTATTTTTCGCTTCAAACTTAAGTAACTGCTGCATATATTTTTTTTGTAATTCAGTTTTCATTTTATGCACAAAATAATGCAATACTTCTAAACATACAATCATGAAGAATGAACATAACACATATGTGCCCAGACTCATAAATACAAACACAAACATAGCAAATCACACACGCACATACATACAGAGAGCTTGGGAATAGGGTTAGGGGGATTGCAAGCCTCAGACTTCAAGTTACATCATGTGTAGTATTATAACAGTTATATTGCTACATATTGTAATTGTAATATTATTGCTTTTCATAAGAGAAGCCATTTTAAAAAATTTGCAAATCTATGTTATTTCTGTAGGCCTTATGATTAATTATCAGATTCTGATGGAATTTATTATCAAATTTGTGTCATTGAGATTTTAGTTTGGTTATCTATTGTTAAATTTGTGTCATTGACACAGTATTTTTCAAAATTAAATTCCTGTTTAACAGATTTAATAGGAGTGTTTGATCAGTAGTAATTTTAATTCTCATAACATAACACAAACTTCATTACACTCCTGAAGTAGATGGTCAATGGTTTGTGGAAAAGTTTTACAAAAAGCACAGGATAAGTCTTGTTTTATACCCATTATATGTAGAAGTGCATTTATAGTTAAAATTCTGTGCCTAATTCTATATTGTAACCATCTTAAGTTAGTGCTGTTGGTATTTTTTAAAGGACATGCACACATTTCTTTCCATTGTTTTTCCTGAATGTTGGAGATTAAACTTTTATTTTTTGTGATATACACTTAGTCTAATTATGACTTAAGACTGTATACTAATCATGAACCCCTTTTCTTTTCGTCGATAAAGATATCAAATTTAAAGATATACTAGGTAAACAGATCATTTTCCATAGAAGTTGTTTCTATTTTACTATTCATGAATTGTTTTATGGCAATAATTACACTATGAAATGTCAAAAAGTTAGATTAGTACCATATCTATGTTGAAATTCTACAAAACTGTAAAATGAACGATCTTCTTCAATAACGTCATATATACAGAATATTCCTTTTCTGTACCATTGTTTACAGAAAACATGTGTATTGTTTACTTTGATGTTGTGATGGTACCACAATAGAATTTCACAGATGTTTTCATTGTATATATGTTGGATGAAGATACTGTTTAATACCATGCTTCCAGAGCATCTCTCCAAAATATATTGGTGCATTCATCCATTATAGTTCTAAGTTGATGAGTTCGACAATTTGCTAATGGAAACTTATCAATGTATTTATCTATAATAAACATCCACTAGCATCTTCTTTATAGATCTCCCTTACCCACTTTGCTTTCAGAGCTGTTGCAAAAGATGAATCGTTTTCAAACCACCTTCATTGTATGACTTAATCATAGCATCACATTTAAGTTTATGTGTCTTTCCACACCATAGAAAATCAAACGGTATGTCATTTTTTTTTTTTTTTTTATATAAGAGTGCTATTGGTTTTGAAGAGCTATTAAGAAATGATTTAATTGTGAAATGAGTTTTTATAACCGTAATCTGCCCATTTGGAGTAAGATTTCTTTGGCTCCACGAACTTATTAGTGATTTCAGTTTACAAAGTTCCTTATCAGAGTTTAAATTTACTATGTACGTAAACATGTTCTATACCTTGAAGATTAAACTTTGTACTTCCTCATGAAAGATTGTGTTATAATTACTATGTTTTTGCTGCCTATCTAAAGTCTTCATGAAATTCATCGTGAGACCTGAAATTCTGGCTTAATAATTAAGTTGTTGTAGTGTAGCATTTAAAGATTTTCTCAACAGTAACCAAAGTTAATTGACCTGACAACGAAATGAACAAGTTGTTTCCAAAATACTTTAAAAAATTTGACAGAGGATCCATCAGAATCAGGACTTTTATTTTCTTTCATTTTAATGAAGGTTTTCCTCATTTTCGTTATGGAGATTGCCGTTCTATTGATAGTGATTCAAGGGAGAACATTTAGGTATATCATATGGACCTAATAATTCTCCCAAGTTTGAATCATAACCTCTACGGTTCTTTGTATAGGTTTTCATAGGAAAGTTTACTTAATTAAAAAATTAGTGAAACTTCGATTTATCATAGACGTGGAATTGTCAGAATGATTTCGTGGCTCATGCCATGCACCGTTAAACTTGGTGGTAGTTCCTCATATACAAAAATGTAGTCTAACCTTGCCTGTTTGCTGCATAATTCTTAAAGGTCTTTAATGGAAGACAGAAGCAATAATTAGAGCAATCATATTTTAGTAAACACTTTTTTCTTCTCTTTTTGAAAATCTATTCCCTCCTTTAAAGACCCCCTTGAAAATAAACTTTCTAGTAATTGTCCATTAAGAAATTGATATACGAATAAAGTTACATGAATGTATCGTGGAAATGTAGATTGTCATTTTGCGTGAGTAACACTTAATACTTTCGATGGTTGATTTTCAGAAAGAAAATACTGAATTAAGGAAACGAATTGACAGTTTAAGAACAGATCGTGATGCTTTGGAATCTCAGGTGGCAACCTTTATGGCTGAGAACCACAAACTAAAGGATGAATCGTGTATGTATATACAGATCTTAATATACTGTGTGAAATGTCTTCCTCATTCTTTGTAATTAATAAAACTTTGGTATGTAAGGACCTTTTACCGACAGAAATTCAGAGATGTCATCTTTAATGAGTATGATCACCAGGAATATCCCTAAGATATTATCAAAGTTACACGGAGACTAAGTTTTCCATGTAGTGTGCTTAGTTCGCTAAAAAAATGTATAGTAAATTCTACGACATACATTATTCATGTCATGTAATGGTCATAACCGTTGTCTAGAACATAAATTACTGGTCTCTGAATTTCTATGGAAATGATATTAATGTGAAAACTGACAATATTGTCGTCAGTCACATTTTTGTGGTATGGAAGTCGAGAAGTCTTTTCAAGTAAATTTGATCATAATTTCTCTTGTAAGTTTTATGTGTAAGTTTTTACGGCTTTGTACAGTAAACTACTTAAAGACAAGCCTTGATTACCACCAACAATCTGAACTGTACAAACAAAGGGCAAGAGAGATACAAATAGAGAAAGATGAAATGGAACGCACCTTCCAACGGATTCGACAGGAACACCACGAGGGTACAGTACCTATATCCGTGCTTTGAGTCCATACAGTATTTATTTCGTTTGTAATATATTCCTTGAAACTAATTGATGTTGTTAAATCTAAATTTACTCATGATATGCTAATAAAATTGTCCATCCATTGTCAAGTTGATAAATATTCCAGTATACTCTATTGCTGACAGCATAACTAATTGAATTAATGTATATATCTACAATCATCAGGTGGTGGACCCTTCAAATCCCCCTGTGTTTGCAGTCTGTCTTTAAACAATTTTTTTTATCTGTATTTTTTGAGAAGTGTCAGGTGAATCTTTCCCGAATTTCTAGGTATCTTTTGGTCCCTAATTGTGCTATTTCATTTTGAAATTGATCAGAAAAACAAAATGGATGACAGATGGGCATCTGCGATTTTGAGCGTGAAAAATCGGTTGTTACCTCTGCAAAAGTGGAGGATGGATCTTTCTAAACTTTCCTATGTAGGTTTCTCTTGGTCCCTAGATATACTCTTTTGATTAAAGTTTGTTACTTGTTGGATTTTCGTCACATTTATCTGACATTTCTCTGTGATCAGCAGTGTTTTAGGTGGATGTTTGTTTTGTATATAGGTTTTCTTTCCTGATCATTGTTACCAGATGATTGATTCATTGTAAAGCAAAAAAGAGGAGGGAAAAGGTTTCATGGAGATCATACAATGGTGGGTGCCAAAACCCCTCTTACCGTATTTCTTCTTTTTTTTCACATATAAAGGTGTTCGCCAGTCACGGTTATCCCTTGGTGTCTCCATTCGAGAAGTGCATCAAGGTCCTTCCTTCAACTCCACAGTAAGTCTTCCCACCTCACATCTATAACCTCCACAGTAAGTCTTCCCACCTCACATCTATAACCTCCACAGTAAGACTTCCCACCTCACATCTATAACCTCCACAGTAAGTCTTCCCACCTCACATCTATAACCTCCACAGTAAGACTTCCCACCTCACATCTATAACCTCCACAGTAAGACTTCCCACCTCACATCTATAACCTCCACAGTAAGTCTTCCCACCTCACATCTATAACCTCCACAGTAAGACTTCCCACCTCACATCTATAACCTCCACAGTAAGACTTCCCACCTCACATCTATAACCTCCACAGTAAGTCTTCCCACCTCACATCTATAACCTCCACAGTAAGACTTCCCACCTCACATCTATAACCTCCACAGTAAGACTTCCCACCTCACATCTATAACCTCCACAGTAAGACTTCCCACCTCACATCTATAACCTCCACAGTAAGACTTCCCACCTCACATCTATAACCTCCACAGTAAGTCTTCCCACCTCACATCTATAACCTCCACAGTAAGTCTTCCCACCTCACATCTATAACCTCCACAGTAAGTCTTCCCACCTCACATCTATAACCTCCACAGTAAGTCTATAACCTCCACCCTCACATCTATAACCTCCACAGTAAGTCTTCCCACCTCACATCTATAACCTCCACAGTAAGTCTTCCCACCTCACATCTATAACCTCCACAGTAAGACTTCCCACCTCTATAACCTCCACAGTAAGACTTCCCACCTCTATAACCTCAACATTAAGACTTACTACTTGATAACAACCCCCTGTTCTGCGCCCCTCCTGATTGTCTTTGATGTTTTTCCAGGAAGAAAGTGAGCATTCCAGTTTGGAGACAAACCTGATGTTGCAGCAGCAGATTTTGAATGAGAAGGTAGAGGAAATGCAAATGGATTTAGCTAATATAGCTGAAGACCTATTGCTGGCACGCACACAGAGTGACGAGTACCAGAACCTGTATAAAAATGTAATTAATATAGATCTAATGCTGTCACACACACACACATGCACACGCACACATGCAGTGACCAGTACCAAAACCTGTATCAAAATGTAATCAGTATAGATCTGACACTCTGGAGAAGTAGCCCTGACATTCAGATAATAAAGCAATAGATTTTTCATCATTAAGACCTGAGTTGCACATTGTTTGTGTAATACATTGTTCAAACAATTGAAATATTGTGGTTATATTTTTCTGAAAGACAATGCCCTGAAAAGAATGATTTTTTTTTATTTCCCCAATATAATATAGCAACAAGCAGTAAAATAAATTAAAAAAAAAAAATTGTATAAAATTTAATAAAAATATAAAAAATTGACTAACAGGTGAAGGAAACATGTGAAAAACTGAAAAATGAAAGAACAAAGATGGACAGCCTCCTAGAGAAACAACTGTACACAACTAACCATTACTTTGAGATGATCCAGAATCTGGAAGCAGACAAGAAAATGGTAGGAAGCTCCATATTCCTGGTGGTATACTTCAGATCTTTTTACTTACATTGGTCTTATATTTGAGTTACTTTATTCAATTGGCATTTTTCACTAGCCTGACTCATATGCATGGAGCTGACGTAATAACTATCCAGCTCCTGTTGTAAAGTTTTCCCCACTTCTTATGCTAAAGGCCTAATGAGCTGATGTTGTAGTGTGTCATCTGTAAAATGTCAGCATGTTTAGCTGGTACATTCCTGGGATGAAGCCCATCAAAGTTTTGAGGAAAGAAATGCTGTTGACCCATATTCAAGGTTACAGGAGTCAAAAAACTTATTCTGATTCACCAATAGGCCTAGAATTACATGGTTGGTAGGTTTCTTAGATTAAATCTGACAACATTTGAGAAGGGATTTCACATTAACCCATATTTAAATAAATGGGATTCAAATTTCTTAAAACTTACCAACAACTTCTTCTGATTAACCAAAAGGCCTAGAATCATGATATGTTATTTGACGGGTTTCTGGAATGAAGCCTGACAAAGTTTGCGTAAAGCAATGACCTTGACCCATATCCGAAGTCTCAGTGTTAAAATTTGTTAAAACCTGCAAGCAACTATTTCTGATCAACCAAATGGCTTAGAATCATGACATATGATTGGTAGATGCTTGGGATAAAGCCTCACAAAGTTTGAAAAAAGAATTGACAATATTCATGGTGACAGAGATCAATAATTTCTCACCCATAAAAAGGCTTAGAATCATATTTCACCTATAGGTTCCTGGGTTGGAGCCTGACAAATTTTACAATTAGAAGTGGACTGAAGGAATATTTAAAGCTGCTGAGGTTAAATTTGTTAAAAACCTTCAAACTACTTCTTCTTGTTAACAAAGAAGTTGAATGTAAATGATGTGAAATATTGATTTCTTTAATTATAGGGAATTTCACAATGCCTGTTTATCTATTAGGATATATCACCATACCTGTTTATCTATTAGGATATATCACAATGCCTGTTTATCTATTAGGATATATCACCATACCTGTTTATCTATTAGGATATATTGCCATACCTGTTTATCTATTAGGATATATTGCCATACTTGTTTTATTTATTAAGGAATTTCACAATGCCTGTTTATCTATTAGGATATATCACCATACCTGATTTATCTATAAAGGAATTTCACAATGCCTGTTTATCTATAAAGGAATTTCACAATGCCTGTTTTATCTATTAAGGAATTTCACAATGCCTGTTTATCTATTAGGATATATTGCCATACCTGTTTTATCTATAAAGGAATTTCACAATGCCTGTTTATCTATAAAGGAATTTCTCAATGCCTGTTTATCTATAAAGGAATTTCACAATGCCTGTTTTATCTATTAAGGAATTTCACAATGCCTGTTTATCTATTAGGATATATTGCCATACCTGTTTTATCTATAAAGGAATTTCACAATGCCTGTTTATCTATAAAGGAATTTCACAATGCCTGTTTATCTATAAAGGAATTTCACAATGCCTGTTTATCTATAAAGGAATTTCTCAATGCCTGTTTATCTATAAAGGAATTTCACAATGCCTGTTTATCTATAAAGGAATTTCACAATGCCTGTTTATCTATAAAGGAATTTAACAATGCCTGTTTATCTATAAAGGAATTTCACAATGCCTGTTTATCTATAAAGGAATTTCACAATGCCTGTTTATCTATAAAGGAATTTAACAATGCCTGTTTATCTATAAAGGAATTTCACAATGCCTGTTTATCTGTTAAGGAATTTCACAATGCCTGTTTATCTATAAAGGAATTTCACAATGCCTGTTTATCTATAAAGGAATTTCACAATGCCTGTTTTTCTAATCGGAGATATCACCACACCTGTGTATCTATTAGGATATATCACCATACCTGTTTATTTATTAGACTTGTCAATCTATTGAATTAATGAACTGAAGTTTCTGTTAATAATTAACTTGATGCTTTCCATGGGTTTCCACAGTTAGAAGAAGAACGTATTAAAGAACAAAAGAAAGTGAGTGAGGAATCAGAGAAGAGGAATAAGCTGTTTATGGAGAAACATCAGCTGGAGCAGAGAAACACAGCTCTAATTATGGAGGTAGAACGCTACCGCATAAAAGTACGGCGTTCCCAGGTAAATCCTTGATGCTTTTATTGTCTAGAACACTGTTTGTATTCTTATACTCAGACCAACGTTACATTCTTATACTCAGAAGACTGTTATATTTCTAAACCCCAGAACACTGTTATATTTATATACCCCAGTGTTATATTTCTATACCCCAGTGTTATATTTCTATACCCCAGTGTTATATTTCTATACCCCAGTGTTATATTTCTATAGCCCAGAACACTGTTATATTTCTATACCCCAGTGTTATATTTCTATACCCCAGTGTTATATTTCTATACCCCAGTGTTTTATTTCTATACCCAGTGTTATATTTCTATACCCCAGTGTTATATTTCTATACCCCAGTGTTATATTTCTATACCCCAGTGTTATATTTCTATACCCCAGTGTTATATTTCTATACCCCAGTGTTATATTTCTATACCCCAGTGTTATATTTCTATACCCCAGTGTTATATTTCTATACCCCAGTTATACTGTTATATTTCTACCCCAGTGTTATATTTCTATACCCCAGTGTTATATTTCTATACCCCAGTGTTATATTTCTATACCCCAGTGTTTTATTTCTATACCCCAGTGTTATATTTCTATACCCCAGTGTTATATTTCTATACCCCAGTGTTATATTTCTATACCCCAGTGTTATATTTCTATACCCCAGTGTTATATTTCTATACCCCAGTGTTATATTTCTATAGCCCAGAACACTGTTATATTTCTATGCCCCAGTGTTTTATTTCTATACCCCAGTGTTATATTTCTATACCCCAGTGTTATATTTCTATACCCCAGTGTTATATTTCTATACCCCAGTGTTATATTTCTATACCCCAGTGTTATATTTCTATACCCCAGTGTTATATTTCTATACCCCAGTGTTATATTTCTATACCCCAGTGTTATATTTCTATAGCCCAGAACACTGTTATATTTCTATACCCCAGTGTTATATTTCTATACCCCAGAACACTGTTATATTTCTATACCCCAGTGTTATATTTCTATACCCCAGTGTTATATTTCTATACCCCAGTGTTTTATTTCTATACCCCAGTGTTATATTTCTATACCCCAGTGTTATATTTCTATACCCCAGTGTTTTATTTCTATACCCCAGTGTTATATTTCTATACCCCAGTGTTATATTTCTATACCCCAGAACACTGTTATATTTCTATACCCCAGTGTTATATTTCTATACCCCAGTGTTATATTTCTATACCCCAGTGTTATATTTCTATACCCCAGAACACTGTTATATTTCTATACCCCAGTGTTATATTTCTATACCCCAGTGTTATATTTCTATAGCCCAGAACACTGTTATACCCCAGTGTTTTATTTCTGTACCCCAGTGTTATATTTCTATACCCCAGTGTTATATTTCTATACCCCAGTGTTATATTTCTATACCCCAGAAAACTGTTATATTTCTATACCCCAGAACACTGTTATATTTCTATACCCCAGTGTTATATTTCTATACCACAGTGTTATATTTCTATACTGTTTTATTTCTATACCCCAGTGTTATATTTCTATACCCCAGTGTTATATTTCTATACCCCACTGTTATATTTCTATGCCCCAGTGTTTTATTTCTATACCCCAGTGTTTTATTTCTATACCCCAGTGTTATATTTCTATACCCCAGTGTTATATTTCTATACCCCAGTGTTTTATTTCTGTACCCCAGTGTTATATTTCTGTACCCCAGTGTTATATTTCTATACCCCAGTGTTATATTTCTATACCCCAGTGTTATATTTCTATACCCCAGTGTTATATTTCTATACCCCAGTGTTATATTTCTATACCCCAGTGTTATATTTCTATACCCCAGTGTTATATTTCTATACCCCAGTGTTATATTTCTATACCCCAGACACTGTTATATTTCTATACCCCAGTGTTATATTTCTATACCCCAGTGTTATATTTCTATAGCCCAGAACACTGTTATATTTCTATGCCCCAGTGTTATATTTCTATACCCCAGTGTTTTATTTCTATACCCCAGTGTTATATTTCTATACCCCAGAACACTGTTATATTTCTATACCCAAGTGTTATATTTCTATAGCCCAGAGCACTGTTATATTTCTATACCCCAGTGTTATATTTCTATACCCCAGTGTTATATTTCTATACCCCAGTGTTATATTTCTATAGCCCAGACACTGTTATATTTCTATACCCCAGTGTTATATTTCTATACCCCAGTGTTATATTTCTATAGCCCAGAACACTGTTATATTTCTATACCCCAGTGTTATATTTCTATACCCCAGTGTTATATTTCTATACCCCAGAACACTGTTATATTTCTATACCCCAGTGTTATATTTCTATACACCAGTGTTATATTTCTATACCCCAGTGTTATATTTCTATACCCCAGTGTTATATTTCTATACCCCAGTGTTATATTTCTATACCCCAGTTATATTTCTATACTGTTATATTTCTATACCCCAGTGTTATATTTCTATACCCCAGTGTTATATTTCTATACCCCAGTGTTATATTTCTATAGCCCAGAACACTGTTATATTTCTATACCCCAGTGTTATATTTCTCTACCCCAGTGTTATATTTCTATACCCCAGTGTTATATTTCTATAGCCCAGAACACTGTTATATTTCTATACCCCAGTGTTATATTTCTATACCCCAGTGTTATATTTCTATACCCCAGAACACTGTTATATTTCTATACCCCAGAACACTGTTATATTTCTATACCCCAGACACTGTTATATTTCTATACCCCAGTGTTATATTTCTATACCCCAGTGTTATATTTCTATACCCCAGTGTTATATTTCTATACACTGTTATATTTCTATACCCCCACACTGTTATATTTCTATACCCCAGTGTTATATTTCTATAGCCCAGAACACCGTTATATTTCTATGCCCCAGTGTTATATTTCTATACCCCAGAACACTGTTATATTTCTATACCCCAGAACACTGTTATATTTCTCTACCCCAGAACACTGTTATATTTCTATACCCCAGTGTTTTATTTCTATACCCCAGTGTTATATTTCTATACCCCAGAACACTGTTATATTTCTATACCCCAGAACACTGTTATATTTCTCTACCCCAGAACACTGTTATATTTCTATACCATGTAATGCATATGTTATTTAATCTTTAATACTTAAATATTTCTTTCTGTACTTTAGCTAGAAATCTTAAATCTCTCTACCTTTGGTGTGTATGTGATTTTCTTGGTCATTTAAGTATTTGTTTTCACATTTATGATATGATAGGAGACCCAGGACAGTTCTGATGACTCTTTACATCCCATTCAGGTAAGGATTACCAATATGTAGGATGTTTTTCCAAGAAGAAGTCTATCAATAAAGTAATACTCTGTGTGCCAGGATGATAGTGGACCCACTTTTGTGTATCTTCCAGGAGTAAGAGGAGGTTTGCTTACAATTAACGCATGCCCCCTCCTTTCCTTGCTAGTTGGCTTTTGTCTATTTGCTGTTCATCATTTCTTTAACAATTCTTGTTACTGCTTGTTTTTGAAAAACACCACAAATCTTAAATTTAATTTGCTTGTTCTGCTTCATTTCTGGTTTTGAAAGTTCAGTTTTGGGACTTAGCGACCAATGATAATGGTTAACAGGTAGCCATATTGAATTTTAGTTGTGAAATGATTGTGCATGATTAATTTTGGGACTAATCATAAAGGCAAAATTGCCAACAGATGGCCATCTTGAATTTTAACAGGTATTGTATGTTTTTGCTATTCTTGATAGTTTAGAATGGAACATTCGCAAATTTCATATAAGTGGGTACCCTTTGTCCCCTTGTTATGCCTTTTTGAGTTTGGGACTAAGGGACTAATCAGAAAAATAGATGTTTTAAAAACTTGGTAAGGCATTATATGGATGAACCATATTATGATAATCATGTCTGAAACATGCATTTTTAATCTCTCCTAATTCTCCATGTGCATCAGTCTAAAGGGAAATGAACTTGAATATCTTTTCTGTTTTCTGACTTTTGTTTCATAACATTGCAAACTTAATGCAAATAGTGATACATTACTTGTTGAAGTCATGGGTATGATCATATGATCGGTACGACAATTATTCCAATGGACTGACACTAATGCAAACTGGGGGAAATGCTTGCAAATAGGTCTCCTTTCTTTTCATCTATTTACTGGGAGATGGGGCTAAAATTTGCAGCAAAATATAATAATGGTATTTGTGACAAAATGTGACTTTAAGATGGACTTTCTGTTGTATACAAGTGTTGCGATTGTTAGATGACGAGTTGACTGTCCACTAGTAAAACGGTTCATGTCAGCTCATCCCGAAAGTGCAATGATGTGTGACAATGCTTGCCAGTGTGTACTGCTGAACTGCTACGATAGGACATGTTCCATGCTCTAACAGTTTGGTCATATACCACACTTGCCGTTAATGTCATTTCATAGATTATGTCTATATTCATATGTTCCTAGGCTCTGTATCACTTTACATGTTCTATTGACAAAGGGTCCAAGTCCAAAAGTAAAAAAACGCGTACTGAAAACTTTAAATTTTAAATAAAGGAGGCTTGATTTAAAAAAGTCATTATCATTCAATCTATCATTCATTAGCGGCATAAATTCTGCAAAAATACTAACACCTGTCTAACAATATTTATCTTTACTTTTTATTTCATTTACAATTTTTCATACAAAATATCAAACAGAATAAAAGGTATTTATATACCTCTATTATTTACTTGGAGTTCATGGTTGTGCTGTCGTTGGATATATATATATGAAATAAGAAGCAAAAGGATGAGGGTAACAAAGAGATACTAAGTTGTTTATCAACAAAATCAGACTGGCTTTATGTACAGTATAGTAGCAGTCCAAGTTTTTGTTTCCAATTTTAGGAGTTGAAGTAGAATGATGTTAAACTATTTCAGACATAATATACAACACTAATGTGTCATGCTTTATATGGCTGCATTGTTACTTTTATAATCCAGGACCCCTCTGATGAAGACACTGGAGTCTTACAACGGAGAACTGGACAAGGTAGGTGTATATACCACAGAGACAGTCATCAGGTAGGTGTATATACCACAGAGACAGTCATCAGGTAGGTGTATATACCACAGAGACAGTCATCAGGTAGGTGTATATACCACAGAGACAGTTATCAGGTAGGTGTATATACCACAGAGACAGTTATCAGGTAGGTGTATATACCACAGAGACAGTTATCAGGTAGGTGTATATACCACAGAGACAGTTATCAGGTAGGTGTATATACCACAGAGACAGTTATCATGTAGGTGTATATACCACAGAGACAGTCATCAGGTAGGTGTATATACCACAGAGACAGTCATCAGGTAGGTGTATATACCACAGAGACAGTCATCAGGTAGATGTATATACTACAGAGACAGTTATCAGGTAGGTGTATATACCACAGAGACAGTCATCAGGTAGGTGTATATACCACAGAGACAGTTATCAGGTAGGTGTATATACCACAGAGACAGTCATCAGGTAGATGTATATACCACAGAGACAGTCATCAGGTAGGTGTATATACCACAGAGACAGTCATCAGGTAGATGTATATACCACAGAGACAGTCATCAGGTAGGTGTATATACCACAGAGACAGTTATCAGGTAGATGTATATACCACAGAGACAGTTATCAGGTAGGTGTATATACCACAGAGACAGTCATCAGGTAGGTGTATATACCACAGAGACAGTTATCAGGTAGGTGTATATACCACAGAGACAGTCATCAGGTAGATGTATATACCACAGAGACAGTCATCAGGTAGGTGTATATACCACAGAGACAGTCATCAGGTAGATGTATATACTACAGAGACAGTCATCAGGTAGGTGTATATACCACAGAGACAGTTATCAGGTAGATGTATATACCACAGAGACAGTTATCAGGTAGGTGTATATACCACAGAGACAGTCATCAGGTAGGTGTATATACCACAGAGACAGTCATCAGGTAGGTGTATATACCACAGAGACAGTTATCAGGTAGGTGTATATACCACAGAGACAGTTATCAAGTAGATGTATATACCACAGAGACAGTTATCAGGTAGGTGTATATACCACAGAGACAGGCATCAGGTAGGTGTATATACCACAGAGACAGTTATCAGGTAGATGTATATACTACAGAGACAGTTATCAGGTAGGTGTATATACCACAGAGACAGTCATCAGGTAGATGTATATACCACAGAGACAGTTACCAGATAGATGTATATACCACAGAGACAGTTATCAGGTAGGTGTATATACCACAGAGACAGTTATCAGGTAGGTGTATATACTACAGAGACAGTTATCAGGTAGATGTATATACCACAGAGACAGTTATCAGGTAGGTGTATATACCACAGAGACAGTTACCAGATAGATGTATATACCACAGAGACAGTTATCAGGTAGGTGTATATACCACAGAGACAGTTATCAGGTAGGTGTATATACCACAGAGACAGTTATCAGGTAGATGTATATACCACAGAGACAGTTATCAGGTAGGTGTATATACCACAGAGACAGTTATCAGGTAGGTGTATATACCACAGAGACAGTCATCAGGTAGGTGTATATACCACTGAGACAGTTATCAGGTAGGTGTATATACCACAGAGACAGTCATCAGGTAGGTGTATATACCACAGAGACAGTTATCAGGTAGGTGTATATACCACAGAGACAGTTATCAGGTAGGTGTATATACCACAGAGACAGTTATCAGGTAGATGTATATACTACAGAGACAGTTATCAGGTAGGTGTATATACCACAGAGACAGTTATTATGTTTCAGTTTTTTGTTTGTTTTTTGTTGATATTTCATTCCAAGCTTTCATAACCAAACTTAGAATATATTTCTCTCAATGCATGGCTATTTGAACACATATGTTTGGTTAATAATTTTACCTACAATGATGTATTTATTTTATAGTACTTTGTTAATAATGAGAATAACAGTATATGGCCACTTTTTTCAATAAGCCTACAGTCATTCATCCCAACATTTCAGTCCAGAAGTGTGATATAGCACTCAAGTATTTCAAAATTAATCAAGATTTTGGGAGGTAAATCTTTAAAATCTTCAGAAGTTGGATTATAGCTATTGGAAGAATATATTTATATCTAATGAATACAATATATTTTATAAATTCTGATGATATAGAAAAGTGAGAACAAATGTGACATGTAATTACATGTAGTTCATGTTTAATTCTAATGATACAGAAAAGTGAGAACACATGTGACATGTAATTATATGTAGTTCTTGTTTAATCCTGATGATATAGAAAAGTGAGAACAAATGTGACATGTAATTACATGTAGTTCATGTTTAATCCTGATGATATAGAAAAGTGAGAACACATGTGACATGTAATTACATGTAGTTCTTGTTTAATCCTGATGATATAGAAAAGTGAGAACACATGTGACATGTAATTACATGTAGTTCTTGTTTAATCCTGATGATATAGAAAAGTGAGAACACATGTGACATGTAATTACATGTAGTTCTTGTTTAATCCTGATGATATAGAAAAGTGAGAACACATGTGACATGTAATTACATGTAGTTCTTGTTTAATCCTGATGATATAGAAAAGTGGAGACATGCGAGATATGATAATTCTAGTTTTATAATAGAAATCATATATGAAGGTTATGTTTGTATTTGATTTAAGTAGTAAAGGACTTGTACTTTTATAGCAAACAAAAGAACTGCCATTTATAAACAAGAATGTTCCCTCCATGTTCATCCTGGGACAGTTCGTCAACAAAGTGAGCGCAGTGATCTAGAAATCGACCAGAACAATGAACTAAACACAACTGTGGCAATTTTGTTGGCAGCACGCCTTGGAGGTATTTATCTGAATGACTGACAGATGAAGGTATTTTAAGTACATCTTCAACAAATGACTTTCTGTTCAGATTGCCTTACATCTAGGCTGCTCTGTCTTTCTAGTATACTTGCTTTTGCTAATTCTTGAAAATAATGTAACATATCTTTCTCAGATTTCATACGATGCTTCCCATTGGTTCCTTTAATGATGCCATTTCAATTTTGTGATGTTAATAAAACAAAATAGCCATCTATGATTTAAAAAAAAAAAATTGTCATCACTCATGAAAAGTTCTCAATGGATCTTTCTCAAACCTTCTGGGTAGATTTGCCTTGGTTTCTAAAGGTATTTTCTTAATTTTGTAATCTGAAGATATTGGGTTTATCCTTCCATGAACAGCCAGTGTTGTTTTGAGGAAGGGTCTCATAAAGTAGCTGATGGCTGCCTCATTGCATAAGATGCATGACATCCTGAGCAATTACAGGGTACAGTGTCTTGCCCAAGGACACAACCATATCGGCACACAATGATTGGTTTCTCAGCTCCGTCTCTCAGCTCAGAGAAACAAAAAGTGTCACAAATTTGATTTTTAGATTTGTTAACTAGTTAAAAGGTGATTTGCTTTCTCTGTACAATAACGTAGTCCTTGTTAATAGGTGGTCTTCATGTACAGGAAACCAAATAGACATGTCCTTTCAAATTTACACATCAAATCACATTGATGGGAGTGAAAATCCCACAAGGATCTACCAGCTTAGGTTTATACATAGATAGATCTTTACATTGTACAACTCAATGCAGGACAATGATTGAGCCCATTTTTAGGTCACCAGAAAGGTCAAGATGTCCTAAAGTCATCATGTTTCCTTTATTGTCATTCGACATGCATCAATTTTTCACATTTAAAATCTTCTTCAAAAGTTCAACCAGTGAGATTCAGTTAAAACCTGCCTGAAATAATCCTGAAATATTTTGACCAAGTGTTGTCAGTTTTGGGGTTGATGTGACATCCAATATGGCCACCATGCATGTCATCTTGAAAACGTGCTTTAAAATAGTACCATTGAGTTGAAAATTGATGGGGGTGTTAAGGAAAGGACACAGACAAAGTGTTGCTATTTTTCAGTCTCCTTAAGAATTTGATATGGCTGTTGTTCAATAAATCATGATTGTGCAAATATATGGTCAATATTGGACCATACCGTCAATATTACTTACTAGATGTGTATTACTGAAATAGATATAATATCAGTGATGTAATAATGATAGTATGGACAAGTTACGTTACATACATAGAACATAAAACAAATACCAAGTGATCTACTAAAACAAGGAAATGGTAGTGTTAATTCAGGTGTTTTGATAATTTCTTTGGCCAATGGATGCCGAAGGCCCTTTATTGTTGTATGAAAGACGGTGATTCAAATATCAAAGATGTTTTATATAAGTTTTGGTACGTTGTGCACTGTAGCCTCAGATCATATATGTGATCACATTTACCATCTTAAGTTATTGCATGAAAGATAATGATAATAAATGTGATTTTTATTTTCATTTCATTAATTTTTTTTTATATCTTGGCAAATTCTGACCACATTTTGCCCAAAGGATCAGTACACCATCTGTTTATGCAGATTTTGTGAAAAATAGAAAGCAAGTCATATCACTGTGATGTCAATTTAATTAGAATGTCTTCAGAAATTGTAACTATGGTTATTATTTACTTCAAGTGATGGTTGTCACAGAATGGAAGAATCTTTGAGTCGTGCACATTTTGAAATCAGTTAATACATATAGAGAGACCGTATATACTCGCCTATAAGCCAGATTTTCTGGAGTAAATTTATGACCTCCGAGGAGGGGTCCGGCTTATAGGCGAGTCATTGACCGTGAGCAAAAAATCACACCATAATTTTCCAAAGGTAAGTCATGCTTTAGGACCGAGAATCATGTAAAATCACGTATATAGTAAAATATGCAAGTACAGTAAAGCATTGTCCTGATTGGTCCGTTTTCAACATTACACGCCTACCAGAACTTCCTTAAGTTCCTGGTTGGACACGTATGCAGGTAGGGCGTGGAAATGAATTGTGATTGATCTGTGCGTTTGATCAAAGGACTGACGATCGAACTGTATAATCTTCCATGTTTATAAACACACGAGAACTTGAAAAAATGTAATGACATTTTATTGAAATACCGTTATGTCTTTATAAATATTGAGAGCAGAAATGATCTTTTAACATTAAATTTTAACTGACTTGGCACTCTCCATCTCCATGATCATGACCAACACGTATCAGTACATGATCTCATTTCTGAAATAAAAATACTTACGATAGATTTCCACCAAATTTTATTCACGATCATTTAACTTTACTTCCAGAGATTTTCACTCAATTTTTTGCCAGAGCATTTTTTGATACCGTCTTATAGGCAGGGTCAATGTTCAATTCCAAAATTTTAACCCAAAAACGTACCTCCGGCTTATAGGCGAATCGACTTATAGGCGAGTATATACGGTAATGTTATAAATTGTTGTATTCCTTGATTGATGGTAAACATGAAGACTTTATTGTTTTTTGGTTTTGTCTTTTTCAGAAGCTAGTAAGGAAGATGATAAATTACAACAAGGGAGAGTGCAACGGCGAGGCAGACTGAAGGGTGGGCAGTATGTTACCATGAATATGATGGACGAGATCTCTGGGGAAGATAGGTCATTCAAGTCAGATGAATCTCTACATACCTCAGAAGCCAATGGCCCAAGCCTTGTGCTAGAGGATATACTTCCTTCATACATACTCTCCTCGTAAGTTTGAATTTTGAAGTATAAATTTTTATGTCAGTCTAAACTACTACAATTCTTATAAGTTTGAACTGAAATACAGTTGTCAATTGTCATAATTGTAATACAGCTATAAAAAGTCATAATTGTAATACAGCTATCAAAAGTCATAATTGTAGTACAGCTATCAAAAGTCATAATTGTTATATAGACACCTAAAGTCCTAATTGTAATACAGCTATCAAAAGTCCTAATTGTAATACAGCTATCAAAAGTCATAATTGTAATACAGCCATCAAAAGTCATATTTGTTATACAGCTATCAAAAGTCCTAATTGTAATACAGCCACCAAAAGTTGTAATTGTAATACAGCCATCAAAAGTCATAATTGTAATACAGCTATAAAAAGTCATAATTGTAATACAGCCATCAAAAGTCATAATTGTTATATAGACACCTAAAGTCATAATTGTAATACAGCTATCAAAAGTCCTAATTGTAATACAGCTATCAAAAGTCCTAATTGTAATACAGCTATCAAAAGTCATAATTGTAATACAGCCATCAAAAGTCATAATTGTTATATAGACACCTAAAGTCATAATTGTAATACAGCTATCAAAAGTCCTAATTGTAATACAGCTATCAAAAGTCATAATTGTAATACAGCCATCAAAAGTCATAATTGTTATAAAAGACACCTAAAGTCATAATTGTAATACAGCTATCAAAAAATTGTAATACAGCTATCAAAAGTAATTGTAATACAGCCATCAAAAGTCATAATTGTACATCAAAATAATGTAATACATATCAAAAGTCATAATTGTAATACAGCCATCAAAAGTCCTAATTGTAATACAGCCATCAAAAGTCAAAAGTCCTAATTGTAACACAGCCATCAAAAGTCATAATTGTAATACAGCCATCAAAAGTCATAATTGTAATACAGCCATCAAAAGTCATAATTGTTATACAGCCATCAAATGATATAATTGTAATACAGCCACCAAAAGTCATAATTGTAAAAAAAACCCATCAAAAGTCATAATTGTTATACAGCCATCAAAAGTCCTAATAGTAATACAGCCATCAAAAGTCAAAACCCATCAAAAGTCATAATTGTAATACAGCCATCAAAAGTCCTAATAGTAATACAGCCATCAAATGTCATCATTGTAATACAGCCATCAAAAGTCGTAATTGTTATACAGCCATCAAAAGTCCTAATTGTAATACAACCATCAAAAGTCATAATTGTAATACAGCCATCAAAAGTCATAATTGTAATACAGCCATCAAAAGTCCTAATTGTAATACAGCCATCAAAAGTCATAATTGTAATACAGCCATCAAAAGTCATAATTGTAATACAGCCATCAAAAGTCCTAATTGTAATACAGCCATCAAAAGTCCTAATAGTAATACAGCCATCAAAAGTCATAATTGTAATACAGCCATCAAAAGTCCTAATTGTAATACAGCCACCAAAAGTCATAATTGTTATACAGCCATCAAAAGTTGTAATTGTAATACAGCCATCAAATATCACAATTGTAATACAGCCACCAAAAGTCCTAATTGTAATACAGCCATCAAATGTCATAATTGTAATACAGCCATCAAAAGTCATAATTGTAATACAGCTATCAAAAGTCATAATTGTAATACAGCCATCAAAAGTCTTAATTGTAATACAGCCATCAAAAGTCATAATTGTAATACAGCCATCAAAAGTCATAATTGTAAAAAAAACCCATCAAAAGTCATAATTGTAAAAAAAACCCATCAAATGTCATCATTGTAATACAGCCATCAAAAGTCATAATTGTTATACAACCATCAAAAGTCATAATTGTAATATAGCCATCAAAAGTCATAATTGTAATACAGCCATCAAAAGTCCTAATAGTAATACAGCCATCAAAAGTCATAATTGTAATACAGCCACCAAAAGTCATAATTGTAATACAGCCATCAAAAGTCCTAATTGTAACACAGCCATCAAAAGTCTTAATTGTAATACAGCCATCAAAAGTCATAATTGTAATACAGCCATCAAAAGTCATAATTGTAATACAGCCATAAAAAGTCCTAATTGTAATACAGCCATCAAATGTCATAATTGTAATACAGCCATCAAAAGTCCTAATTGTAATACAGCCATCAAATGTCCTAATTGTAATACAGCCACCAAAAGTCATAATTGTAATACAGCCATCAAAAGTCATAATTGTAATACAGCCATCAAATGTCATATAATTGTAATACAGCCACCAAAATAATTGTTATACAGCCATCAAAAGTTGTAATTGTAATACAGCCATCAAATGTCACAATTGTAATACAGCCACCAAAAGTCATAATTGTAATACAGCCATCAAATGTTATAATTGTAATACAGCCATCAAAAGTCATAATTGTAATACAGCCATCAAAAGTCCTAATTGTAATACAGCCATCAAAAGTCCTAATAGTAATACAGCCATCAAAAGTCATAATTGTAATACAGCCACCAAAAGTCCTAATTGTAATACAGCCATCAAATGTCATAATTGTAATACAGCCACCAAAAGTCCTAATTGTAATACAGCCATCAAATGTCATAATTGTAATACAGCCATCAAAAGTCCTAATTGTAACACAGCCATCAAAAATCCTAATAGTAATACAGCCACCAAAAGTCATAATTGTTATACAGCCACCAAAAGTTGTAATTGTAATACAACCATCAAATGTCACAATTGTAATACAGCCACCAAAAGTCATAATTGTAATACAGCCATAAAAAGTCATAATTGTTATACAGCCATCAAATGATATAATTGTAATACAGCCATCAAAAGTCCTAATAGTAATACGGCCATCAAATGTCATAATTGTAATACAGCCATCAAAAGTCATAATTGTTATACAGCCACCAAAAGTTGTAATTGTAATACAGCCATCAAATGTCATAATTGTAATACAGCCACCAAAAGTCATAATTGTAATACAGTCATCAAAAGTCATAATTGTTATACAGCCATCAAATAATATAATTGTAATACAGCCATCAAATGTCATAATTGTAATACAGCCATCAAAAGTCATAATTGTAATATAGCCACCAAAAGTCATAATTGTTATACAGCCATCAAATGTCATAATTGTAATATGGCTATCAAAAGTCATAATTGTAATACAGCCATCAAAAGTCATAATTGTAAAAAAAACCCATCAAAAGTCGTAATTGTTATACAGCCATCAAAAGTCCTAATAGTAATACAGCCATCAAATGTCATAATTGTAATACAGCCATCAAAAGTCATAATTGTAATACAGCCATCAAAAGTCATAATTGTTATACAGCCACCAAAAGTTGTAATTGTAATACAGTCACCAAAAGTCATAATTGTAATACAGATATCAAAAGTCATAATTGTAATACAGCTATCAAAAGTCATAATTGTAATACAGCCATCAAAAGTCATAATTGTTATATAGCCACCTAAAGTCATAATTGTAATACAGCCATCAAATGTTATAATTGTAATACAGCCATCAAAAGTCATAATTGTTATACAGCCATCAAATGTCATAATTGTAATATAGCCATCAAAAGTCATAATTGTATTATAGCCATCAAAAGTCCTAATTGTAACACAGCCATCAAAAGTCCTAATAGTAATACAGCCACCAAAAGTCATAATTGTTATACAGCCATCAAAAGTCATAATTGTTATACAGCCACCAAAAGTTGTAATTGTAATACAGCCATCAAATGTCACAATTGTAATACAGCCACCAAAAGTCATAATTGTAATACAGCCATAAAAAGTCATAATTGTTATACAGCCATCAAATGATATAATTGTAATACAGCCATCAAAAGTCCTAATAGTAATACGGCCATCAAATGTCATAATTGTAATACAGCCATCAAAAGTCATAATTGTTATACAGCCACCAAAAGTTGTAATTGTAATACAGCCATCAAATGTCATAATTGTAATACAGCCACCAAAAGTCATAATTGTAATACAGTCATCAAAAGTCATAATTGTTATACAGCTATCAAATGATATAATTGTAATACAGCCATCAAATGTCATAATTGTAATACAGCCATCAAAAGTCATAATTGTTATACAGCTATCAAAAGTCCTAATAGTAATACAGCCATCAAAAGTCATAATTGTAATACAGCCATCAAAAGTCATAATTGTAATACAGCCATCAAAAGTCATAATTGTAATATAGCCACCAAAAGTCATAATTGTTATACAGCCATCAAATGTCATAATTGTAATATGGCTGTCAAAAGTCATAATTGTAATACAGCCATCAAAAGTCATAATTGTAAAAAACCCATCAAAAGTCGTAATTGTTATACAGCCACCAAAAGTCATAATTGTAATACAGATATCAAAAGTCATAATTGTAATACAGCTATCAAAAGTCATAATTGTAATACAGCCATCAAAAGTCATAATTGTTATATAGCCACCTAAAGTCATAATTGTAATACAGCCATCAAAAGTCTAAATTGTTATACACCCATCAGATGGCATAATTGTAATACAGCCATCAAAAGTCATAATTGTAATACAGCCATCAAAAGTCATAATTGTTATATAGCCACCTAAAGTCATAATTGTATTATAGCCATCAAAAGTCATAATTGTAGTACAGTTGTCATAATTCAAAAGTAAAGTACTGTCCTCATCAGTCTGACCTGTACTTCAGTCCTCATCAGTCTGACCTGTACTACAGTCCTCATCAGTCTGAATTGTACTACAGTCCTCATCAGTCTGAACTGTACAACAGTCCTCATCAGTCTGAACTGTACTACAGTCCTCATCAGTCTGAACTGTACATTAGTCTTCATCAGTCTGAACTGTACTACAGTCCTCATCAGTCTGAACTGTACTATAGTCCTCATCAGTCTGACCTGTACTACAGTCCTCATCAGTCTGAACTGTACTACAGTCCTCATCAGTCTGAACTGTACAACAGTCCTCATCAGTCTGAACTGTACAACAGTCCTCATCAGTCTGAACTGTACTACAGTCCTCATCAGTCTGAACTGTACAACAGTCCTCATCAGTCTGAACTGTACTACAGTTTGACCTGTACTACAGTCCTCATCAGTCTGAACTGTACTACAGTCCTCATCAGTCTAAACTGTACTACAGTCCTCATCAGTCTGAACTGTACTACAGTCCTCACAGTCCTCATCAGTCTGAACTATTCATAAGTCTGACCTGTAACACAGTCCTTATAACTCCAAACTAGCACTGTCCTCATCAGTCTGAACTGAACTTCATAGTGTTTCCTAACTACGTATGAAATAGTAGAAATGATAAAACAGTCCTTATCAGTTTAAATTGCCGTTAGTCCCCATATATCAGAACAGTGACAGTAATAAACACTATCTTTTGACCATATTGATATAAACTTCTTTTACAAGGACATGTGTTTATGATCATATATATTTGTGTTCAAAATGTCAGTTTTATGACAGTATTGATTTTTTATTCTATTTAAATACCATCTTGTTTGCTACATCTCCAGCTATATTATTCTGTCTGTACACATTACAGGGCCACAAAGACTCCAAACACATACACCATCAAAGTAGCCACTCCCTTACTGAAGGACAAATTTGACATCATAGGCGGCAACCTGAGTGGAATCTATGTCAGAAGAAGCACCAAGAAAAAGTCTGGTCCTATTGAAGAAGGAGATAAGATACTGTCGGTATGTCTGGATGTGATTTTATTGGTAGGACAAAAAATATAGTGTGTTTCTAGAACCACCCTCATTAGGAAGAGATACAACCCTGTGTGTAGTTCTGAAAACACTTGTTTCACAGATTAAAGGTTTCAGTAGTTAAGTTGATACTTATAGGATGGATAAGTTATTTGTGAAATTTCCTTTACAGGATAGACACAGATTGGTATCACTATGTCTTCAAATACCCCTACAGGATAGACACAGATTGGTATCACTATGTCTTAAAATACCCCTACAGGATAGACACAGATTGGTATCACTATGTCTTCAAATACCTCTACAGGATAGAAACAGATTGGTATCACTATGTCTTCAAATACCCCTACAGGATAGAAACAGATTGGTGTCACTATGTCTTCAAATACCCCTACAGGATAGACACAGATTGGTATCACTATGTCTTCAAATACCTCTACAGGATAGAAACAGATTGGTATCACTATGTCTTCAAATACCCCTACAGGATAGAAACAGATTGGTATCACTATGTCTTCAAATACCCCTACAGGATAGACACAGATTGCTGTCACTATGTATGCACATACTTTATTTAAGGAGAAATTATGACCTTACTTTTCATTTGCTGTAAGGAAAAATTCCTGATTGTAACATAACATTGGGGATTTGACCTTGTCTCCCAGTTGTATCAAGGAGAAACTCCTTATATGAATAATGATTATGATGTGTATATAACCTTCCCCTGCTGTAGGGAGACATTCTTCATGTAATATGATGTACATTTTTTGTTCAGGTAGGAGTATTCATTAGTGATGTCCAGGCCCTCCACACAGACTTGATGTACCGCACTTTTGAGGAGGCCACACACATTCTACAGGCCCAGGCAGATCCCAAGCATGCAAATATGGTGGAGGTCAAACTACAGAAGGACCCAGAAGGTGAGTCAGATGATACAATGTTAATTGTCTCACTTTTTATCCATTGATCAGCACCATCATGTGTGTTTGCCCAGGTACTCCAATTTCTTCTAACAGTAAGACTCCTCAAACTCTTCCAGCGAGCATAACTAATATCAGTTGATCTAACTTGTTTTGTAACTATTATGAAATAAAAGAAGTTTACACAAGCAAGTCAATGTGAAGGCAATTGCATTTGATCCAAGAAGAATATTAGAAGAGAATATTACTTTGTTTGCTATAGTATTGAGTTTGTCTTAATCAACTATCTTCACTCACTGTCAAGGTCAGTTGAGTTGAAGGTGTCAAACATAGTAACACTGAGTAATACTGAAGTCAAGAGTATTGGGTTAGCATGTTGGGTGAAGATTTATAAGTTGTTGTTCAAATGAATGACCTTGGTTATTTTCAAGGACACAATAGTTAACTAGGTTGCATAATGTCTTTTGTTATGATAGCTTGGCATGCCAATACTAGAGTGAATGGCTAACAAGATTGTTGAAATGATAAACGTTGATCCACTTTCAAGGTCATGGTGATGAAATGTGTTTTGAAAAATCATTGTGTTTTCCTTATGGTTGCTAAAGCCAAGATGAATCATGATATTTTTTCTTTAATTGGCTTCATTGGACTCTCAAATTATAGCATTTCCTTCTACAGTGTATTAGTTTTGTAAATTTTCAATGTGGTTGGTCACTTGTTTCAGATAATACCATTGTGAATAGCATTGAATAAGATGTGTTATACGGGCCCATGAGCTTCTTGTTTGTCATACTACAATATGATTACATATAATGGTTGCTTTGAAAGTTTACATGTAAATCTTGCATAAGGCACTAACTAGGATGAAGGACATGTCAATCTCTTCTCATCTCCAGGATATAACAAAGTACTCAAATGGACAGAGAAGCATGGTAGCACCGATTGTTTCTTTATCAGGTATGTTATTTCTCAGTCATGTGTATATGTGTGAATGTAAATGTGCATTCTTAGCTCGCCTGGCCTCAAGGGCCAAATGAGCTCAAGGCATACCATGGCATCAGGCATCCGTCCGTCCGTCCGTCCGTCCATCTGTCCTGCCATCCATCCATCTGTCTGTCTTTCAATTTTTTCATACAAATTGTTACTAGTCATAAACAACTTTGACCAAATTTGGTCAGAAGCATCTTTAGGGAAAGACCAACAAGTTTTATATAAATGATGGGTCTAGGCCGCCAGAGGCCTGCAGGGTGGGGCTCAAAATGGGTAAATTTTAAAATTCTGCTCCTTCTGTAGAAATGACTGGATTTTGCTGAAATTTAGTTTGAGGCATTGTTGGGTGAAGGGAAATCAATTTTGTGTAAATGGTAGGTCTTGGCCCCCTGTAGTGGGAGGGATGGGCCCATTATGGGAAATAGAGCAAGTTCCTTAAAATCCTACTTCTCCATGAGGAATGATTAGATATCAACCATATTTGGTCAGAAGTATTCTTTGGTGAAGTGGAACAAAGTTCTTAGGGACAGGGTTCAAAAGAGGAAATTTTGTAAGTTTTTGACATCTTACTCCTCCTAGAAGAATAAATGGATATTGCTTAAATTTGGTGTGAAGTATACTTGGGTGAAGGAGACTAAATTTTGTGTAAACAAAGCATCCTGGCCCCCTAGGGCAGGAAGGGTGGGACCTATTGGGGAAATGTAAGTTCTTAAAAGCCCTTCTTCCATACATGGATATTATCCAAGTTCGGTCAGAAGCAATATTTGTGAAGAGTGAATCTGACCTCTGTTTGACCACAAGGGCAGGGCCCATAAGGAAAATTATATCAGAAATTGTTTGTTATATTTGAAATTCTTTATTAGATTGCTGAATAACTAAATCAACCAGGTGAGAGATTCATGCTCCTTGGGCCTCTTGTTAATTTGATCCATTTCTGAACTTATCATCAGGTAAGATATTCTTAACCTGGCCAGGCCTGAATGTCAGACTTTGGCTGCAGGTAAGATATTCTTAACCTCGCTAGGCCTGAATGTCATACTTTGGCTGCAGGTAAGATATTCTCAACCTGGCCAGGCCTAAATGTCATAATTTGGTTGCAGGTAAGATATTCTCAACCTGGCCAGGCCTGAATGTCATACTTTGGCTGCAGGTAAGATATTCTTAACCTGGCCAGGCCTGAATGTCATACTTTGGCTGCAGGTAAGATATTCTTAACCTGGCCAGGCCTGAATGTCATACTTTGGCTGCAGGTAAGATATTCTTAACCTGGCCAGGCCTGAATGTCATACTTTGGCTGCTGTTTCTAATCCAGGGATATTTTCTTCTGAATCACTGATAGATTTTTGTTTTGTGTGCAACAGAGTTGCAGAGCAATGGTGTGGCTACGGGACAGTGGCAGAAACAGAATTAACACCAAATTTTTCAATTAAATTCAAGTGGAATTGAGCTACATCAGTTATCATAATAAAACATGGAATAAACTTGGGCCCTGATAAAGATTTATGTTTGGCTCGGCATTGAGCTTTATGATCATCCCAACACAAACATTTTAGGTTCTGATTTTTGCCTACTTTTTACTGTTAATCAAACTTCGTTAATCTATTGAGCTAGATGTTAAAGATTTCTGTTGAGCTCTGTGTTAAGCTTTTTAATGCTTAAAGTTTTATGCTGTCATGGCCAAACCTGAAATATATCTATATCAATGTTTGATCATTCCAACACATTTAAGACTCTGAATTTTTCACATACAATTTTTTATTTAATTGGTCTTGGTTAATTAATTGTGCCACAATAAAAAAATTTTGTTTAGTTATACTTGGAGCTTAATTTGTGTTTGTTTATAGGTCCTGACGACACATTAGAGAATTACATGTAATTCTAATTGTTACAAAATTTGATTGCAAATATATGAAAATGATGTAGATACAAAAATGTATAAATGGAAGAGTTTAGTTTCAAGGCAGAAGTACTCAAATGTACACGTACAGCTTGAATAGGAGATGGATCCAAAAAAATGACTTGAAGCTGTCAATTAAGTCAGTCTTTGTTGAGTGATAGGAGTAGTCACATTCCTTGTTTGATCTGATGTTGGATTCATTATGTATTACAGGGCAAATTTTGTTTGGGAAGAAGACAGCAATCGTCCCAGTATACAAAATGGAGACATTTTTTGTGTTTGCTCAACAAGGAAGGACAAGGAAGATAACTATTGGAAAGCATTTCGGTTTGACAAGGGGAGTAATTCCTGGAGCAAAGACCCTGTATTTTTACCCAATGTTTCTGAGTAAGTGAATCAGCATTTTGGTTTTATGTGTTGAATGTTCTGTTGAGACAAAAACAAGAGAAAAGCAAGTAAATGAAATTGACATCTAGGGAGAATGTATACTTAGTTTATCGAAAATAAATAATACTTAAAACAACTGGACCTGGCATTTAATCACTACAATGTAACCATATAATGATACAAGACAATGTTACCTAACAAAGACATCGGTATATATAGATACATACCACAGACATCGGTATATATAGATACATAACAAAGACATCGGTATATATAGATACATACCACAGACATCGGTATATATAGATACATACCACAGACATCAGTATATATAGATACATACCACAGACATCAGTATATATAGATACATACCACAGACATCGGTATATATAGATACATACCACAGATATCAATATATATAGATACATACCACAGACATCGGTATATATAGATACATACCAGAGACATCGGTATATATAGATACATACATCGGTATATATAGATACATACCACAGACATCAGTATTTAAAGATACATACCACAGACATCAGTATATATAGATACATACCACAGACATCAGTATTTATAGATACATACCACAGATATCTGTATATATAGATACATACCACAGACATCAGTATTTATAGATACATACCACAGACATCAGTATACCGGTATATAGATACATACCACAGACATCAGAATTTATAGATACATACCACAGAAATCAGTATATATAGATACATATCACAGACATCAGTATATATAAATACATACCACAGACATCAGTATATATAGATACATACCACAGACATCAGTATTTATAGATACATACCACAGAAATCAGTATATATAGATACATACCACAGACATCAGTATATATAAATACATACCACAGACATCAGTATATATAGATACATACCACAGACATCGGTATATATAGATACATACCACAGACATCGGTATATATAGATACATACCACAGACATCAGTATTCATAGATACATACCACAGATATCTGTATATATAGATACATACCACAGACATCAGTATTTATAGATACGTACCACAGACATCAGTATATATAGATACATACCACAGACATCAGTATATATAGATACATACCACAGACATCAGTATACTGGTATATAGATACATACCACAGACATCAGTATTTATAGATACATACCACAGAAATCAGTATATATAGATACATACCACAGACATCAGTATATATAGATACATACCACAGACATCAGTATTTATAGATACATACCACAGAAATCAGTATATATAGATACATACCACAGACATCAGTATATATAAATACATACCACAGACATCGGTATATATAGATACTAAGATTGAAGTCTTTGGTTATAATCTAATTTATAAAGGGTGTTGAAGCTGAAACGGGGAGGAGTTGTTACTGGTAGACAACGTGGCCGACAACAAGCATTCCGTCGTAAGTATCCTATATATATATAGGTAATATTACTACTGAAAGTGTGATGGTTTATGTCTGTGATATATTAGTGTATTGATTTCATGTAACTATAGAGTCGGTATTATCAACTTTTTATGTAACAATTTGTAAGTAAGTAAAGATTTGAACAACAACAGTCACATATTTTTATTTACTTTATTGCAGATCGACCCTACTCAAGAGTGTTGCCAACAGGATGTAAGCATTATTAAATCTACCAAAATGTGTGGTTGTAAAGCTTTTAGTTAATAATTATATCCCCCAAACAAAGTCTGATACAACAACTAGAGTTAACAACTGGATAAAATGGCTGTCTTACAGGGACAACTGATACAGTGAAATTCAAGTATTGTTAGATTTTTAGCCCACCATCTAATAGATGGTGGGTTATTCAAATCGCCCTGCGTCCGTGGTCCATCGTCCGTCCGTCCGTCTAGGCGGCTAGGCTTCCGTCCGTCATCCGTCCGTAAACAATTCTTGTTACCGCTATTTCTGGAAAAGTACTGGATGGATCTTTCTCAAATTTCATATGCAGGTTCCCTTTGGTCCCTAGTTTTGCATTGTACATTTTGAATGATTCGAATTGAAGATGGCCGACAGGTGGCCATCTTGGATTTTGGAAGTAAAAGTTTGTTACCGCTATTTCTGAGAAAGTACTGGATGGATCTTTCTCAAATTTCATATGCAGTTTCCCCTTGGTCCCTAGTTGTGCATTGTACCTTTTTTGGACTGTTTCGAATTCAAGATGACCGACAGGCAGCCATCTTGGATTTTGGATATAAAAGTTTGTTACTGCTATTTCTTGGAAAGTACTGGATGGATCTTTCTCAAATTTCATATGCAGTTTCCCCTTAGTCCCTAGTTGTGCATTGTACCTTTTTTGGACTGATTCAAATTCAAGATGGCCAACAGGTGGCCATCTTGGATTTTGGATGTAAAAGTTTGTTACCGCTTTTTCTTGGAAAGTACTGGATGGATCTTTCTCAAATTTCATATGCAGTTTCCCCTTAGTCCCTAGTTGTGCATTGTACCTTTTTTGGACTGATTCAAATTCAAGATGGCCAACAGGTGGCCATCTTGGATTTTGGATGTAAAAGTTTGTTACCGCTTTTTCTTGGAAAGTACTGGATGGATCTTTCTCAAATTTCATATGCAGGTTCCCCTTGGTCCCTAGTTGTGCATTATACCTTTTTGGACATCCGAAATCAAGATGGCTGACAGGCAGCCATCTTGGATGTCGACAGTAATACAGCACAAGCATATTGTCCATTATCCACCTGTAACTGACTGCTGTCTAATAATACTTTGGGATCTTTTTCAAATGATATTTGCTAATAGGTGCTTAATAAAAATATCTTGTGCCATCATTGAGTACATTCAATGAAGACCAGTTCATGAACATTTACAACACCTGTAACAAACAAAAAAAATTAAACAAATCTTCAAGACCTGAAAACAGATCCTCAAATGGTGGGCGCCAAGATCCCTCTGGGATCTCTTGTTTATCATGATTTGTATCAATTTTAATTAGATAATATGTACATTAAATATAAATACAGGGGTGTTTGGGGGACATATGTTACAATCAGTACATTTATAACCTTGATCTTATATATTTACTGTAACAAATGACAAGTGAAGTGCGACCTTGACACAGTTGTGACTGTATCTAATTGTAGCACTTGTTGTCACAATGAAAACAACAAAAACCAGGTGTGTTCTTCTCACTTTAATTCAAGAATGAATACAGTGACTTGGAGCCTGTAATATAGCAGACATAATGTGTTATTTCTGTTATAAGGCACAAAAGAGGTAAAATAACACTGAATATAAAACCGAATGTTGTGTGGTACTTACCAGGGGAAGGGTGACGTGGAGGCTGTGCCGGCCAGGTACGGAGTGACAGGTCGCAGACAGGTGACAGGTGACAGTGAATAACCACACATGCACAGCTCACTTACTTTCACTCCAGACTCTCACAGAGTGAGCTTATTTCGTGTGTGCTGATGGCATTGTAAAACAGTTACATGTACTTAGATACAGTAAAGTGAAGTTTGACTTTGAATCCTGGCATTGATAATGTAATGACTGAGTCTGCTGTAGTGTGACCTTGACCCTGTGGCGACTGTAACCAGTGTAAAGTGAAGTGTGACCTTGACCTTGAATTTCCTATCTAGTGACTGTGACTTGATGAGTTAGTTTATCACAACAATGTCATGACTTTAACAAGTGACTTGTGAATAGTGACATTGACCAAATAATGACTTACTAATGACTAGAGACGAAAAAATTTTGAGAATAAAGAAAGGAAATAACTAGTGGAGGGTAGAGGGAAAGGGAAGTATTAGAGTTGAGGGGAATGGGTATGTTAGAGAAGAACAAAGGGACTGTTTTAGGAGGGAAAGTTATAGAGGAGAAATGTTGCTTAAGAGGAGATCAGTGGAAAAGTATGAGAGGGAAAGAGAAGTATTAGAGGCGAGAGGACTGGATGTGTTAGAGAAGAAGGACTGCATTTTAGAATGGAAAGTTGTAAAGGGCTAGAGAGACATTTTAGAGCTAGTAAAGGGTAAATGTTGGAGAAGAAGGGCAGGAAAGTGTTGAGAAGGAGGAGTGATATTTGAGGAGAGGATAAAGGAAATGTTGAAGGATATGGATGGGAAGTGATAGAGGGTAAGAAGAAGTAATAGAGAAGAGGAGAAGGAAATGTGAGGGGAAGAGGATGTTACAGACAGAGAGGGGAGATTTTAGAAGAGGAATTTCGAGGAAATTAGAGAGAATGTATCAGAGAAAATGGAAGGGAAAATGTTAAGGGAGGAAGAGAAATGTTAGTGGGAGTTGATAGAAAGTATTAAAGGATTCGAGAGGAAAATGTAAGGGGAGAAGAATGTTAGAGGGGGATTAGATGGAAGGCAAAGAATGAGGGAAAACTTGGATTATATCATGCAGACAAGTGTTATTTACATGTGTTTAATTGAATCTTTGATTGCAATCCTCGACATATTTATGTTGTAGCAGCCAACACAGACTACAGTATGGATAACGAAGTTGTCTCCCCTTCTGTACCTCTCCCGTGGGACACCAAGTTCAAAGATAAGATACACTGGCACAAGGAGAGCCGGCTAGATGCAATGGAGGTGGAGAAGTACCGCCACCTGCTGGGCTATAGTTCGGAGATGTCATTTACCTCAAACAGTATTGACATGTACAGTGACACTTCCAACATATGCAACTCTATTTCCGTAACAAATGAAGAATGTCAATCCCTGTAGGAGGCGGATAGCACTTTTCATTGACCAGATGTTTGCTGAAACTTAATGATACGGTAGAAAAGCGTTGATGTTTTAATGAGACAGATATATTAAAGAAAGGAGGTAGATATTGCAATAGCAATGTTACTGTAAATCATTATGATCCTTACAAAGGGTTTAACATGTTAGATAAGTCATGCGTTTTCTGAATAAGAAATATTTCATGTTTTCTAGTTAGTTTCCAGGCCACCATTGTGACAAGTAATATATGTGTTATTAATGAAGTGCTCTTGTTGAATTTTTATTATGTTAATTAAGACTAACATTCCTTCTCTGGTGTACAGATTAATCAAACAATTGTGAGCACCCAGATCACTACAGGATCTCTTGTCATAACAACTTGTTAGTCCGTTTATCTGACTGCTGGAACTGATCTGAAGAAATCCCCTTAGACTTAAATGAAGCTTTACACGTAATTACATCTGAACATGTGTACATTCTTTCATTCTGATCCTTTTTTTATTGAGTTATGTCCCCTTGTTTAAAAACCTATCATTACTATTGTTTTTTTTTCACAGATTGTTGTTATTGTTACATAACCAGGCTTTTTGGCATGACAGGCAGTATTATTATGTATGAAGCATTTATATGATTTTTTTTTTATCTATTCTTATTTTTTTTTCATTTCTGAAACCTGATTGGATGAATATATAAAAAATTCAGATGTACCAAATTAAGTTTAGAATTCTACAATAAGATTGTAAGCTCTAAAATTTCTGAAATAGAATGTGATTCAAATATTCCTGTCTAATTTCACAAGGACATATTGGAAAATAATGATCAGTAACACTGTTCCATTGGTTAGATCACTGACAGAAATCAGTTTCTGTGTTAATACCTAAAGCATTGAAAGAACTACCAGGAGAATGGTAAAACATTCCAGACGATGTATCTTACATCATGGTAAAACATTCCAGACGATGTATCTTACATCGTGGTAAAACATTCCAGACGATGTATCTTACATCGTGGTAAAACATTCCAGACGATGTATCTTACATCATGGTAAAACATTCCAGACGATGTATCTTACATCGTGGTAAAACATTCCAGACGATGTATCTTACATCGTGGTAAAACATTCCAGACGATGTATCTTACATCATGGTAAAACATTCCAGACGATGTATCTTACATCATGGTAAAACATTCCAGACACTGTATCTTACATCATGGTAAAACATTCCAGACTATGTATCTTACATCATGGTAAAACATTCCAGACGATGTATCTTACATCATGGTAAAACATTCCAGACTATGTATCTTACATCATGGTTAAACATTCCAGACGATGTATCTTACATTTCATTAAAACAGTTCACACAATTTATTCAGTATCCAAACTCAGGTTTCAAATTTTCATGACAGACGAGTTAGATTCTATTAGAAATGTGTCTTAAACCTTTACCTGTTGATCATTATTTTTAGAAATTGATATTTTACCTTGCGTTACAGTATTGAGAACAAAACATTTTTGCTAATATATCATTCTGCTTCGCTGCTTTACCATTGAAACCATTGCCAATGAAATTTTGACATTGTATTAGATGACGCAAGTAAAAATTAACAAAGAAATCGTGGCATGTCCATTATGGTCACTTCAACCTCATGAACAAGCTCTAATTATATATTATCACAGAGTATAATAATAAAAATGTGTTTGCTCAAACAATGTCTGTGACATGTCCAGAAATCCAGAACAGCAGGTCATTATCAGCCATTAGAGTCTGTTAAATCTGTATTTATCATGTTATGTTTGATTGCTAAAGTTCAGAATAGCAACTTCATTTGCTGGTCTAATTCTGGATATTGCAGTTGTTGAAATCCATACATGTTTATGTACAGTGTATCAATATGTATACAAAGAGTTAGAAATATCAGTATGCTTTTATAAAACTTAGTGATGACATTGTCGGTTATCAAACCTTACATAATGATGCTTTTTCATGTAAATTCTATCAAAGATTTATATTGTTTGAAACAGGGTTACTTTATTATCTATTTTTTTGTCAGATTTTCTATATTACATTGTGTATTCTTTACAAGATTGTTGACATTTCCTTTTATACAGTTTTTATTTTGTGTATCAAATGCTTTTTTACTCGGTTGTACTGTGAATTTCTCACCTGTACAAAGTTTAAATGATCTACAGTTAATTTTGAAAAATTTAACTAAATTTTCACCAGCTTAACTGGAGAATGTTTTCTTGGATGTACAGAGTGTTTAATTCAAATTCATAATGATGCATTTTAATTTGTCTTCCAGAATGTACTTCATTTGTTCCCTTTTAACAGTTCACAGAAATATATACCAAATGGAAATATATGCTGCGTCGTGCAAACATTGATTCAATGCAACTGAAGTGTATTGATTTGTGAATTGAGACAGAATGTGATTAAATGTAATCATTTGTTTCCTTTTTGCGAGTGTGTGGCACAGTGTCAAATCAACAGCTTTGGAATTAAAGTTTGCCATTGTAAACCTTACTGATTTATTAAAGTATTTTTTGAAGAATGTTGTTCTTGTATTTGTTTTTACCAACTTTACCTTCATCTTTATCAAGACTAGGATTTATGATGTCATATCATAACATGTAAATGGTCAGAATTCCATTACCAAATGTAATGAAGTTTCAACTCTTAATTACCGTGATTAAACCAGTTGATGTTTGTTAGCCCACACATACTCCTGATGTACAGAGAAATGTGTTTTGGTGATTGGGCCTTAGTGCTTTAAATGCTTTCATTCCTGTGCTCTTGTTGACTCTTAATGTTCAAAAGCCTTTCATAAATTTAGGCTCAGTTATGACAAATATTGGATGTATATAGGTGCCATGTAATTAACAAAACAGTAATGATCCCAATGTGAAATCATTCAAGTGTAGAGAGAAATGGTCTGGAATCGAGGAAAAGGCACGATAACTTTGACACGAGATTGCTTATAAACGGAGTACCATCAGCTCATGAAAAGGGTCTTGTGAATAAAGAATATCTTATATGTATGTTTATGTTAAGAATTGTTATTACTTCCTTTCTGAAAGAGCAAGTGGGATGATGATATGTCGTATGCACAGTTCTAATTGTCTCAAGTTTTTAAGTGAACTTAAACCCTTCAAATCTCATGCTGCAGTTTGATTTACACATAGAAATGCCCTTGTTCAACAAAAGAACGGCAAGCCATATACTGATCTGTATTATACACCTTTATGTACTAATGAAAAAGTCTCATTCAATTTCAGTGCTACAAGTTTCCTCATTTAGGACTCAACATTAAAGAGGAAATACATTCTGATTTTTGTCACTTTTCAAAAGGCAACCGAGAAAGGATTTCCTCAGGAACCTGAACTCGGGAACTATCAAGGTAATGGGGTGTCTCTGTGCAAAGAAGGAAAGCACAAACATTCATTGCATTAACTATAGAAATTAGATCAATCTGACAGTATTTTTTAATCTGAACTTGTTTCGATAGATATGGTTTAACAACAAAGAATTATGTACTTTCTTTGAAAATAATCAATCTTATTTATTTTACAAAAATTGCAAAACAAGCTGTCAACTCATATCAACCACTCTTGATGGCTCTGATGGAACACATGAAAGGTATGAATGTGCAAGGAAAATGGAGTAACTTGGGAAAACCTACCTGGGTGGGACAGGTGACTGCATACCTTTTCATGTCCAATTTTGGAATCAAACGCTGGTCACCTTGGTGAAAGGCAAGTGTGTCACCCAACCATCTTGTATTTAGCGAAATGGCCATTTATAATTCTAAACTCATTAATCACAACTGATTCCATTGTGATACATCTGATGCCAAACACAACATACTATATTTATCTGGCATCATGCCAAGGGGGACAACTTATTGCTTCAACCTTAAACTTAGCTCAAAAAACAATAAACCATCGTTACAATCAGTACAGAAATAATTATTTATTTCATAAAAAAAAAAAATAGAATTGTTTGTTAACAGAAATATGCTGCAATGTCATTTCTGCAAATTATTAAGGGGTTACCTTCCTAATATCAGGATAAAAAATCACAAAGATATATATTTTCAGAAATAAATTTAAAATAATTTTGGGTGAAGAGTGGCATTCTATGCAAACATCTTGCCCTAAAAACTTTAATAAATAACAATTTTGCTAGTCAGCTAGAACACTGAGGGTACAAATAACGGATCATCTCCTAACATTATCATTACCTCCCCTTCATTATAATCACTGATAGTCACTCCCCGGGAAAAAAAAAAAAAAAAGCATTACTGGTCATCTAGAACACTAGGTACAAATAATGGATCATCTCCTAACATTATCATTACCTCCCCTTCATTATAATCACTGACAGTCACTCCCCGGGAAAAAAAAAATAGCATTACTGGTCATCTAGAACACTAGGTACAAATAACGGATCATCTCCTAACATTATCATTACCTCCCCTTCATTATAATCACTGACAGTCACTCCCCGGGAAAAAAAAAAATAGCATTACTGGTCATCTAGAACACTAGGTACAAATAATGGATCATCTCCTAACATTACCTTTACCTCCCCTTCATTATAATCACTGACAGTCACTCCCTGGGATAAAAAAAATAGCATTACTGGTCATCTAGAACACTAGGTACAAATAATGGATTAAGATATCTCTTTATATCATCACCCACTCCCCTTCACTACACTCACTGAAGCCTCAAACTTAAAATCTCGACACCCCTCACCCTTCCCAGACCAATAGAGCATCCCATTCATCAAAGTCACTTTCAATCAATCACTTTCCATGCTATTCATCAAACTCACTTTCAATCAATCACTTCCTACCAATCAACCCCATGATATTCATCATAGGCATTGGCCATTCCAATCACCTCCATGCTATCCGTCAAACTCAACAGCTGTTCCAATCACTGCCTCTGATCCTTCGCACTCAATAGCTGATCCCATCACCTGTCTAAATAATCAGCTTCAGATTAAGTCTTCGTCTTATTACACACAACGTAGTTATTCATCATCCTTCCATGCTCTGTGGCCAGTCCTGTGTTTGTTTAAATCCTGGGGAAACACTATATGCCATAAAGTCTGCGGAAGCTTTCCCTGCTGACAACACCGGGATAGAGTTTTTTGCAGACACAATATCGTCTGTTATAAAGTCGTCCTCTTCATCCTGTGTGTAAAATATAACAGATGTCGGAAATAAAAATACCCATCATAAACAGTTGGTGGATTGTTAATTATCACTCTCTAAAGATAAAGATAATTGTTGATTGTCATTTCTCTAAATTGAAAAAGGTTCATTCAAAAACCCAAGTCTTTACAGATACAGATACAGTTCTGGAAAGAATTACCGGTAATCTTGAAACTTCATTATCATATAACGGACATTTCTATGTCACTCAAAGTAAAGACTTCATGAGTTCTATTTCAGTAAAACATCTGCCTAACCCTTTGACTCCAGGTCTTGTTAAGGAGTAGTACCAACCGTATAATTTAATTTATAATTTGCAAAGAAGTAATAGGTAAAAACGTTTAAGATACCCTACAGATGTGATTTATTATGAAGTTCCAGGGTAGTGTCTTGTTCTTTTAACTGGAACAGTCGTAAGTAAATTAGATCTGTCAGATATACATAGATTTTTTAATTTTATTTTTTCTAACAGCATCTAATTTTCACTATTTTCATTATATACTAACATGGCAAGGTTTACATGGTTGGTGAAAATACAACAAGACTAAAATTACATATTCGGGTTTCAACATCAAATTGCCATACTTGTGCATGACGTAATACACCTGATATTGCATGACGTAATACACCTGATATTTACTTACTTCTGAGTCGTTATCCTCCTGTACAACATTGCCTTGATATTCCCTGTAATGAGGCTCGATGAACTTTCTTGACCTGTCAAAAAAGGGTACAAGCTCACGTTTCACATAGTATTTACACATTATTTTTAAAATGATGAACAATTTTTGATTACTTAATCTTGAAAAATTTTAATATGCAGACAAATATTGTGAAACAAGCATTACCTGTATGGTTAATTTTGGGTTCAAGATGGTTTGTTTTACCTGTGGTGAATAAAGCATAAAGGCTAGAGTTGATATATCTGTATGGTGAATTTAAAGTTTAGAAAGGGAATAATTTACCTGTGATGATACACTGTTTAGGGTGATGTTGATTTACCTGTGGTTATACACTGTTTAGGGTGATGTTGATTTACCTGTGGTTATACACTGTTTAGGGTGAGGTTGATTTACCTGTGGTGATACACTGTTTAGGGTGAGGTTGATTTACCTGTGGTGATACACTGTTTAGGGTGAGGTTGATTTACCTGTGGTGATACACTGTTTAGGGTGATGTTGATTTACCTGTGGTTATACACTGTTTAGGGTGAGGTTGATTTACCTGTGGTGAAACACTGTTTAGGGTGAGGTTGATTTACCTGTGGTGATACACTGTTTAGGGTGAGGTTGATTTACCTGTGTTGATACACTGTTTAGGGTGAGGTTGATTTACCTGTGGTGATACACTGTTTAGGGTGAGGTTGATTTACCTGTGGTGACATACTGTTTAGTGTGAGATTGATTTACCTGTGGTGACATACTGTTTAGGTAGAGATTGATTTACCAGTGGTGATACACTGTTTAGGGTGGGGTTGATTTACCTGTGGTGACACTGTTTAGGGTGAGGTTGATTTACCTGTGGTGATACACGGTTTAGGGTGGGGTTGATTTACCTGTGGTGATACACTGTTTAGGGTGAGGTTGATTTACCTGTGGTTGGGTTGACACACTTATGTAGTGAATATAGGAGTTAAGGTACAGGTACTGAGGTTGACTTACCGATGTAGTATGTAAGGATCAAAGGGAAATGCGTCATTCAATAGGTCTCCTGTTCCTCCAGATGATGATGGCAGGAAACAACGATTATTTTTCTCTATAATTGTATCACAGAAAGCTAACTGATGTGTTCTGAAAATACACAAAGAATTCATAAGATCTCTGTGAGATTATCCAACATCTGTAATGATTCAGATCCCACAATAAAAAGTGTTCCTCCATAAAGAATTCACCATCTAACCAATACAATCTACCACTCCTGTGCAATGTAGAAAAAATCTTATCAATATTATAACTGAATATTTGTTAATCAATTAAGACTTGACAATCTTTTAAACAAATTGAGTACTCACCTCGTTACAGAGGCAAATGACTTTACAATAACGGGCAGACACACTCGCAGAAAAAATGTAATCAATATTATAACTGAATATTTGTTAATCAATTAAGACTTGACAATCTTTAAAACAAATTGAGTACTCACCTCGTTACAGAGGCAAATGACTTTACAATAACGGGCAGACACACTCGCAGTGGATTGAGGCGACTTGTCACAATTCTCTGAAAATTTAAGCCTTCTGCCCATTTGTATCCTGTTCAGATAAAAGACACAAATACATAGTTAGAAAAAGGTGCTGACAAAAACAGATGGAGGAAATGAACATGACTTTTTTTCTACATACTGATTGAACATCATTTAACTTTATGTTACGATCAACTGTTACACCACATTTCTCAGAATGTACTCACCTTTTTTCATTTCAAATAGCTCTTTACTTCTGAACACAAACACATAGAAAATAGTCTGACAAACAGAATAGAAAGGTCCGTGGTGGCAGACATCAGCATGTACACAGTCCATGTTCACCTGGTCTAAGTACTTGTGTACCCAGTCACACATCAACCCTAGACAGGCTGTCACAGTACTGAAAATATTCAACAGTCACATGTTTTGAATGCATGTAACTTAATACATTTCCTTCTTCAATTATTTAATGACAGTATATAATTTATAATAAGGAATAATATTCATGGACAAAATTGAAAGAAACATCAATTCTATTGAAATAAAAAAATATCAGATAAATAAGGCGTCAACAGAGAGAGATTTTCAATACCTGATAGGTACAAAAAGTCCTCGAGACAACAGGCTTCCTATGTAGGATACACTAGCCTGGCGATATACACCCTGTGTGTTAGGGTCCTGCACTTTCTTCCACAGGAAATCCAAAAACCCTTCACAGATTGGCTAAAATCAATTGAAAAAAATCATTTGATCCCAAATTTTAAAATGAAAATCAACTAAAGGTGACAAGATCTGCATACAAGTTATTTCTCCTACTGAGTATATATAAAGAGTGATTTTTATTCACAAAACCTCGGATACAGGTTGTGCTGTACATATACTTTATAAACAGGGTTAATATCAATTTTCCTTGATTTCTTGTAATTTGCATCCCTCCTGTTAATGGCCTTCAGACTCTGATATCTCATTTCTACTGCAGAAGTTATCAGTGTTAAGGTAGCTCACAAATGATTTACAGATATAAATCAAGGTGTTATAGTCCATCCCAGTACATTTAAAGGTGAACGTAAATTAACAGCTGATCAATCTTCCACAAACAGTTAAAATTATTTACGTCACAGATGTGTGATTTGACATAAATAGAAGCATGATACTTTCATGTATTCCCTTTTCCAATTATTCTGTCTTTTTATCTTTTGTATTAAAATAAAATATCTAAGTTCAATAACAGCTCAAATTTGATACTCATAATTAAATAAACAATCAGGACATGGATAAGATGCTATTTTGTGAGAGTGTTTAAAAAGTAAAAAGGATACTGGGTACAACATCCAGTGTAATTGTTTTGGGACATATTCTCAATCAGTCAAACTAAACTGATGGCACCAATTTATCCAACCAGTCTATCAAACAATGTCATGTTTGGTAAATTCCCTCAAGGTGTTCTCTCCAGTACATGTACTGACCTGCTTTATAGCACACAGAGAAAACATGATAAACTGGACATGACAAGAGGCATGGGTAGGTAGAATGAGACGGTCAAACACCAGAAGAAGTTCCCGGTACAGCGTCTTGGCAGCTTCCCACTTCAACTGACCTATCAATGAACATGTTGGGTAATAATATAAGCAGCAAATATTGGAACTTTCTATATAAATGTATGAGAGAAGATCACTGTGTTCATGTGTAGACTTGCCCTTATTAAAGTATGTATTGAGTAAGTGTTGATCCAATTGATAGAAATATTATGAAAATATTATGGAACATGAGAAGAGTCAACCTCATGAAAGTATTATGGAATTGTGTGTAGACCTATCCTTTTGAAAGTTTTACAGAGTATGTGTAGATTTAACAAAAAGGAAAGTATTACAGAATATGTAGAGACCTATCCTGATGAAAGGTTTACAGAGTGTGTGTAGACTTACCCTCATGAAAGTATTACAGAATATGTAAAGACCTACCAGCATATAAGTGCTATGGAGTGTGTGTAGATTTACCCTCATTAAAGTATTACAGAATATGTAGAGACCTACCAGCATATAAGTATTATGGAGTGTGTGTAGACTTACCCTCATTAAAGTATTACAGAATATGTAGAGACCTACTGCATATAAGTATTAAGGAGTGTGTGTAGACTTACCCTCATGGAAACATATCTGTTGTATGTATTTAAGCACCAGATCCATCATTACATCGAGACGTTCAGCCTCCTTGTGATTCATGGGCTTAGCTGTTTCTTTTTCAAAGTACCCACTGCGATATCCAGCATCTGGTGATAACACTTCCTGAGTTGTACAAGGTTCATCCTTAAAACACAAAATGTTTGAGAAAATTCTCAACTACATTCATACTCTTTGAGAAACACTAGATAGTTTAAGTAAAACAACCCCACCCAATACCTACTTTAACAGATATAAAGCTAAATGTAAAATAAACAAGAACTGAAGAAAGCTGTTCATGTATATCACAAAATGTTACTAAAGTAGACAATACTGTCTCCAGCTGTTTCAATAGGCACATATGAAGGTGGATCACTTTTGAACTTCTAGTAATAGAGTGATAGATAGAAACATGAAATATAATGATGTATAACAAAATCTAAATTAAATGTCTTGACTCTCTATGTACATCTAAATTGCTTTTTGGTTATTCAGGTAAGGAACCGTTGTTTTATACCTTTAATACCAGTCAACGGTCAAAACTCTTTCCCCTCGATGTTGGTCCCAACACCTATGGAAAATGTTATTGACTGATAAGGTATGAAACAAAAGAATAATATCAATTTTATGGACAAAATTTTTCACTTGTCTCAAAGGTTACCATATCAAATATTATGTTATCCTCTTCTCCAGTTTCTTCTGCTTCTGCAATCTCATGTTTAGGGGAGCGTACCTACAGGAAGACATGATGAAACATCATACACAGTTAACTAAAACAAAGGTTATGATTTATGTATATAGATGTGTGACTGTGTATAATTATTTCTGTGTAAGATCCAATTATTGGTTCAAGTAGTCACTGAGTGAAATAATTCCCACAAAATTATTATCAAATATAATTCTACAGTTAGAATGCTGATTTGAAACTAATATGGAATTAAATACTGTGGTACATTTCAATTTACTAAATATGTTTTATAAGGGAAAGAGGAGCATGAATCTTTGTGACAATAGCCCTGAACAACACCATGAACAGAATAAATAAAATACATAACAAGCAAAAATTCAGTATACAGGATAGTGTCATGTAACTGTGCCAAAAGGTTTTTCAAATAAACAGATTCCTAATAAAATAAAAAATAAAAAGTCAATTTCAAGTTAGATTAAAAACTGTGTCAGTTTTATATAGACTACATATAAAAGTTACCAAAAGTAAATGTGATTTTTGCTTCATCTTTGTTTAATCTCTCTGTCATGTCTGTTAGCAAAATTTGTCAGTTTGTCTAGCATCAAAAACATCATAGGTAGAGTTCCAATACTCTTGATACCCACATCCAATTTCAGCATGCGGTCAACGATGAGTTCTAGTATGGCTGGTCTCTGTTTGGGCATGTAATGAGTGATCTGAAGGAGATTCTTGACATAGCACTCCTGTAGATACGTGTCCTTTGTCATGTAAGGGAAGTAATCACTAAGGAGAGGCATCAATACTGTTGGGCTCCTAAAACAAAATATTAAATCTGTAATCACCTTACAACTATACATACTGTGGACTCGAGAGCAAAATATGACGAGTGTATTGGTCATATGTGAATGAGTGGTGGGTGTATCAGTCATATGTGGATGTATGGTGGGTGTATCAGTCATATGTGGATGTGTGGTGGGAGTATCAGTCATATGTGAATGAGTGGTGGGTGTATCAGTCATATGTGGATGTGTGGTGGGTGTATCAGTCATATGTGGATGTGTGGTGGGTGTATCAGTCATATGTGGATGTGTGGTGGGTGTATCAGTCATATGTGAATGAGTGGTGGGTGTATAAGTCATATGTTGATATTTGTATCAGTAATATGTGGATGTGTGGTGGGTGTATCAGTCATGTGTGGATGTGTGTATCAGTCATATGTGGATGTGTGGTGGGTGTGTCAGTCATATGTTGATATTTGGTTGGTGTATGGGTCAAATGTTGATGTGTGATGGGTGTATGATCATATGTCCATGTGTAGTCGGTATATGGGTCAGTTGTTGATGTGCTGGGTGTATGGGTCATATGTTGATGTGTGTTAGGTATATGGGTCATATGTCAATGTGCTGGGTGTATGGGTCATATGTTGATGTGTGTTAGGTGTATGGGTCAATTGTTAATGTGCTGGGTGTATGGGTCATATGGTGATGTGTGTTAGGTGTATGGGTCAATTGTTGATGTGCCAGGTGTATGGGTCATATTTTGATGTGTGTTGGGCGTATTGGTCATATACTTGGCCCAAAATGTTAGGGATCACATTTTGAAGATAAATTTATTTACACCTAAAGGCAAATACTTTTGGAACATGAAATACAAGAGTGAAGTCAAAAAATAAGAAAACAATTTTGATCCACTTTAAATTAATTGAATAACTCTCTAAAACAAAAGTATCAATAGCGCTGAAATTTAAAAATGCTTCAGTGGGTTCAGCAGCACTTTCAATACTCCACTGGCCTCAATAATGACACAACGTCAGCTTGGCATGATGTGAATCAGGCAATGTACAGCCATTTGTGAAATTTACGGCCATTCTTGACAAAGAGAATCAGCAAGCTCCAGTCAGTTGACAGGAAGTCACAGACAATCAATAATGCATAGCTGTAACATGTCCAAAGCATGCTCAATCAGGTCAAGGTCGGGTTAAAGACTAGGTCACTCCATATGATTGACAGTTTGATTTTAACCCCGTGTAACATGATGTCTTGCTGCAATTCATTGTGTATACATTGGTGATGAAACAGTGGTCAAGGAGTGTCAAGCTTAATTTATTTTAATGGCAGAGAAAATCACATAAATTAATGATCCTTAAATTTTTGTGTCCAGTGTATGTTGATGTTGGGTGTATCAGTCATATGTGGATGTGTGGTGGGTGTATCAGTCATATGTGGTTGTGTGGTGGGTGTATCAGTCATATGTGGATGTGTGGTGGGTGTATCAGTCATATGTGGATGTGTGGTGGGTGTATCAGTCATTTGTGGATGTGTGGTGGGTGTATCAGTCATATGTGGATGTGTGGTGGGTGTATCAGTCATATGTGGATGTGTGGTGGGTGTATCAGTCATATGTGGATGTTGTGGTGGGTGTATCAGTCATATGTGGATGTGTGGTGGGTGTATCATTTTTCATCACATAAGACCCGATTCATGATTGAACATTGACTTACATTGGTACAATGTTAGATATGGCTTTTATCACCAAATGGACATTGATGAAGCTTTTCTCGTGGTCCTGAAGTTGCTGACTGTCTATTACCACATTATCTGTGGAGGAATTCTTGGAATTCTCTGAAATTTCTAAGCAAATTGTTTCAAATTACTTCAAAACTTCACATTGAAAACATGTAGATACACAAATATTACAAAGTTCAAAAATTGCTTCTTACTATATTTCAAAATAGGTGGTTTATCTTGAATAACTGATTAAATATTTACAAGTAAATAAAAACAGGTTACTTTAGAGAGCAACTTTAATAGGAGCACTGTTTGGTGCTTTTCTTTGCTAAACTTTGCCTCTTACTTGGTAGAAAGTATTTGACAAGCATGCGTAGCCCTGCACGAAGATAATAAGTGTGTGCTGACACAAGATTGTGTAGAAGGGTCTGATATTCCAGGACCACATCTGGCTCCTTCCTCATCCAATCTACTTTCTGTAACAAAAAACATCACATAATCATAAACTTTTACTTAGGTAGATCCAAAAATATCAAAATGGTTAGAGTTTAAGGTAAGTAGGTTTAAATCACCACTGTGTTTGGTAAAGGTCTCTCTACCACAGTACAACTACTTGAAAGGCTTTTAAAGTGACAAAAGTAAAAAAAAAATACAAGATCTCTATCATGCTATTGGTGTACTTCTTAATGCAATTTGGCATTACATGTTTGAGACATAAACTAAGACAGCATATGGTCATTCAGATTTTGTTTGTTCTGATGTTCAGCATTGACCATAACTTAAATGAAAACTTCATGAAACTAGAACATCAACAGGCTAGCTGTTTATGTATATACAAGATGAACCACTTCTTAATGACTAGGAGGGCTGTATCGCCATTTGCCCACTTTTTAATGAAAACAGGGACAGAAGAATGTTGTTAAAAGGTTAAAGACAAAAAATACCTTTCTAGTGTTTACATAAGTATATTTTTAATATAGGCTGGTAGAATAAACAACAAGAGTAATAGTGAAACTGATAAATGCTCCCCGAAAATGACTTCATTGGAAACAAAATTTTACCAAAGGGCAATAACTTTGCAATTAAAAATCATGGGCCCAGGCTTTGCAACACTGCACCTTGCATTTGTATGCTTGATGTATATATCATGTTTTAATATCCTAGTTTAAAAGCAGGTAAAGTAATGTTCTGGACTTATGGACAAAGTGGTGACTATATGCTCCTAAGAAAAATTTCAGGAAGCATAACAAACAAATATGAATATTTTTTTTCCAACCTTATGAATGTACTAAAGTTTTCTGTAAAATACCAAACTAAATTCCATATACATTACACAAATTACCAAATTTATCTTAAAGAACCACTTCCTCAGTTTAAAAGTTTAGTGTTAAGTTTAGAGAGAGCTTATTTGTGAAACACTTTTAGCTTACTATCTTGAAATTGATCAAGTTGCAAATATGAAGAAGGAGGCATATTTGTGGCAGGGGCTTATCTGTGGATACATGTGGTAAATTGATGATATAATTGATTTTTGTTTATTTATATATAATGCACAATCTTTAAGATAGCATGAGGTAGACACTGCTGGTGGACTTAAAGTCCCTGAGGTTTGCCGTAATCTGCATTTGAACAGGGGCACATTTCAGAATATACAAATGTACTTGACACAGTTCTCACTGTCATCTGATATATGAAAACTACAAAATATATTTAATCACAGGGCTGCTGCTGATTTTCCTCAGTTGCCTCCTAAGATTCAAAATTTAGGCCCTTAGCATCACTGACATGTCCTAGATGGATGCTGTTTAAGTCATTGTTTGACTCTACTGTATCTGACTCTAAATTAGTAAAAGGTGCTATTCACTTGTGTGTCTTTTATACAATCTTAAGAAACCCTTACCAACAGAACTCCAACAAGAATTTCATTATCCTTATCCAGTAGAGTGATACAATCCCTCAGTGACTGAATGTACCCTTTAAGTTGTGCAGACTGAAATATACACAATTAAATGAGAGTTTGACTGGTGTCACATACATAAAGACTGGGTTTAATATAAGTAATACAGTAAAATCTATATTCAGATAAAGTCTGAAAACATCTTAAAATTATCATCAGAAAATTGTGTATTTTGTTCTTAATCTGTAACCATGGAACTATAGGCAAAGAAACACTTAGTTTTAATTGTGAAAATACATATGCCAATATAATCTCAGTATATGAAAACGAAACTTGAATTTAATGATGGTTGTCTAAACCTGGCTCAAAAACTTGACAATACTTAACTGATACCTGTAATTTATTACAGACTTAACTAAAAATTCCTTACATCAATAGTGAGTAACAAGACTATTTTATGTGACAAAGTAAAGCACTGAACAAAAGGTCAATATTTTAAGACAAGAAATCCATTAAGGTTCTAAAAATGGATGGATGCGTTACTTACCGCAATGTTGGGATCCCCCAATCTGCTTAAGAAAATATCATATTCGTGTCTGAAACCCTGAAACAAAATATTAAATGTTGCAGCTCGCAATATCTCTCTCAACATGCACATAAAGAAATGATAATCTTGGGACAAAATGAATATAGGTAAGTACACCGATTCTTCAATATCAACACTAATATTACCATTTCCTCATCTCATCTAATATTTAACCAAACTCATACATGAACTGTTAACATTGCATCTCTATAAACAGTTAGCCAACATTGACAGAAGAAGACAGTTCCATCATCCAGTAACAGCTATCTGGGTTTAATACCATTTCAGTAACACCATAGACTGAGAGATTCTGTGTGTACTGGTATTCAGTTGTAGATTAATCCAAATAACAGAAAAAAAAGTCTTGTAGGGAATTTGATGACTATCTAAATCCTGTCCTTGTTGTATCTATCACCAAATAATGTTTCCTCACCCTTTTGTGGTCCTTCAATATGTTTTCTAGTTGAGGTATCTGATGCTCAGAAGACATGTTTACTCACATCTAATTGAAATCAAGGTTAAAGCCAAAGCTTAAGCTACTGAAACAAAAAATTCAAATACAGTTAGATATTTGTTGGTTGCACGACATGGACACTTTTTTATATAACCATTGATATATAACATATGGACAATGGCATCTTTTCTGGAACGACCAACAGATTGACAAATATTTTTTTGATAAATTTGGGGCATATAGACAGTGTCTGTACATGAAGAAACAAATGTGTACAATATGTTTTTCCAATTACCTCCTTCATTATCCAACTTTATTTTAAATCATCTATTAACTTGCATTTAAAATAAACTGGCATACATGTGAACTGAATTACTTATTAACTACTTCCTAACATTTAATAAATCTGAAAAGTTATGCCTATTATACTTTCTAACATTTAATAAATCTGTTATGCCTATTATAAAACTGCAATTAGACAAATTGCCATTGCAATGGTCTTATATGGCTATTGAATTATATTCTTCACTAAATTTCTCAACAAAACTTCATGGGAATTCCCTTAAGTTGAAAATTGTTACGGTATATTCATATCACTGACTTACATAAGACAAGTAAATGTTGAAAATATTTGCATGTGTTCTTGTTTAAGGCAATTTTCCAAAGATTTGCATCAAAATTATTTTTCCTATTCATGGTGAGCTTCACAGTTTCTTTGCACTTCATATTTTAATGAGGACATGTACACTGTACAGTACTAGAAAGTCATCTGACAAAACATTCTTGTTTTATAAATCATATAATGACCAAACCAATCGTTAAATAGAAAAAAAGAAATAGACAGATCTGACCAAATGAACAATATGAAACAGCTGCTTTTTTAGACAATTTTTGACTTTACAAGTATGTTATGCATGAAATCATTTTATTACAATAATCATATAGGTTATTGCTCTAACTTTATAGGGAATTCTTTGATAACTTTGATTTCAAAATCACAGAGATTTCATTTGCACAAATGTACCACAGTTTGAGTAAAACAGTCAGTGACTGTAACTGTAGGTATTAATACATATGAAATCACTTTTTAATCCATGGATATTTCTGTTTTCAGAGATGTACATATTATTTTTGGAGTTTTTCTTTTATATGATAATAGTAAGAGTTGAGATATTTCATACCTGATCTTATGACCCCTAGATTTAATATTACTGATCAATGCCAATTTACTAGTTCATTAATTCCAAATAGAGAGCTGATGCAAATGTATGCAAACTTGTATTTATTTCAATCACAAAATTATAAATGATGTAGAGATGACTTTATCCATACATGGTAAAATTGAATATATCAGAAATAAGATTGGATAATCTTCCTTCTACAAACATTTTAGAAGCTATGCTCATTGTATTTGTGTAGGAATGATGTGATATTTATGCTTATTTTGAGTCGATAATTACTTATAGCCAATAATAGAAAAATAAAATAATGCTGTCAATTTTGTTTGCAAATTTTCTGGAAGATTAGAAAGTATTAAAATTATTCCAGATCCTCTGTCGCAGACTTCTTCGTTATTTACACCCAGTGCCATTAAGGGAAGGCAAACTCAAACCATGAATCGTGGTTATTTGAAATGTTAATTTGAAATACTTATTTATGTACATTTGAGTGGTTAATCTCAGACGAAAAATATGACATTGAATAGTTTTATAATGGTATTGTTTGTATTAGTATTTTTCATTCTTCCTGGTTATATATACTAATTTTTTTCTGTATATCACCCAAATGAAAAACATATAATGCATAAGTGGGCCCATTCTCCTGTAAAAAAAAATGCTGATTTTAAGTTCGAAAATCGGCCGTAAATCGCAAAATTCTGAAAATCAATTCAAAACAGATTTTAGTAAAATAATCTCTCAAATATTTTATATACAGTCATAAGTTATAACTAGTAAAGCTAAAACAAATCGATTTCAGGTCAGTTTTCCTCCATTTCGGTAATTCAGTCGGGCGATAGTCCGTCCGCGAGTCGGCAATTTCTAAAATAAGTAATAGAAATGTTTCTAAGTGGAATTAACCCACTAGTTTTGACAAGCAAACCAACATGTCATTAAAGAATACAATTCTAGGTCCATTTTCTTAAAATATGCTTGATACAAGTCTCAATTTCCTCCATTTCGGTAAATACCTACCCGTGCTTTAAGTTGTATTATTCATCAGATTATTCAACTCTGACTTGTACACGTATTTGTATATGTAACGTCATTTAGGTTTACCTCAAAAAGACTAAACTTCACCATATATATTACGTTTTCTGAAAATATTGTTGCGTTTTACCAGGGACGTATAATGGTTTCACATGGTATAAGACGAAACAAAACGTCGCCTGCAGAAAACATGTGGCTTTCAGCTTTCACAACACTTTGAAGGGAGAGAACTCTAATGGACCGGAAATGATAAAAGAAATATAAAAAGGAGAAATATAAGTCTTTTAAATAAAAGTTGATGGCCAAACTCAGCCATTTTTAATAAAATTTTCTCATATTTCCTCCTTCATGTATTTATTGAAATAATAGAATAAGACTAATGTAAATGCACACCAGAGATTTATTATGGAACTCTTCAACACTGAAGTCACATTCGTTCCAATTCAATATGTCAGCCAGCATGGTTGAAAAGCATGTTCGTATACGTGTTTTCTTCGAGAATTCATCGCAAGCACCAATCTGGCTTTTAGTTGACTATGAGTCTATGCACACTATCCAAGATTTAGAAAACGAAATAAGGCATCGATATTTTGAAAACACCAATTCATTTGTGTTGTCATTAGACGGTTGCGTTTTACCAAAATCGGAAAAAGCAGTTATTTTACGAGATAACGACCGTGTGGTTGTCAGGTATATGCATTCTTCTCGTCATATTTGCTATATCTTCAACTTGGGAGAGAGGTACACATTGTAATTACTTTAACGGTGTAGTGTGTCGTTGTCTTTGTTAGAAGGTTCCAATCTAAAACAGTTCCCACATGCATTTTTTTATTTGGTCGCTGTTGGAACATCTGTTGTTATTGCAGATATACCTATGCACAATATTTGTTTTGTAAGAGGCACTGAATCCTCAGACATGGATAGGCCTACTTTGTATTTTAGTGTAGAGATAATTATTACAGGCCATGGCTTGTTCCAACCCCGCAAAAACCCTTAATGAGGTGGACTAATGACGGGTTCAATAGCAAATATGTAGCTTTGGGAGGGGGAGGGGCAAGTAGTTTCGGTACTCCTAAACTGGTTAAAGTTCATTCATACCATTATATTATAACTTCAGGTTCTGCACCTGATTAGATTTTGATAGTCATATTGTTCAACTTTTTGTCATATTGTTCAACATTAAAAAGTTGAAGATAACACTTTACCACATTTGAAAAGGAAAAAAAAAAAGATCAGGAATGAAAAATATCTATTCACTTGATATAAATCTTCGAATAACAAGAAATGTACCCATGTCAAATATGACATTTTTCATTTGTCAAACTCCATTTTATATGGTCAGTAATTCAATTTGGAAGAATCTCTCGCATGCTTTGTTGAACAATTGATTAAACATGATCTTCTGTACTCAGTGCTAGAAATATCAATATAACAGGCTAGGTGTGTATACATTGTGTAGCATTGCTCAGAAATAACCATAGAAATGAAAAATAATCATTGACTGAAATATAAATATATTATATAAAATGAGCATTTAGAAACAAACATTTTCATGTTGCTGTCTGTTTGTTTACAATCAATTAACTATGTACCACAAAATTCAATGGAAAGTCAGAGTGATGCAGTAAAATCATGAATATGTCAATAAATCTCTTTGTACTTTAATGTACTTGTATCTGTTTTTCAGACCCAGGCAAGTGGGAAAGGAAGAATATTTACCTGATTTACCTGATCCTGGTCCCGGGTAAGATATTTCAAGACTTGTGATTTTTTCAGATTGACCGATTGCACTTACAGAAAAACAATTTTGATCCTACATTTGTTTGTAATTTCCTTCATTGATTCATTATGGTGGCTTCCATTTAATACATATCACTAAAATTGATATTCAAAAACTAGTGTTAATTCTAAGGAATGCATATCACTGTCTCTTTTACCTTGATGTATTAAATAATTCAGTTGAACAGGAAGTACTGTTGTAACCTTTGTATTTGTTTCCTAGATTATCAATAGTAAAGTTGTATATGAATCAAAGAACTGTCAAAATTGTGTTCATAAATTTGAAGTAGAATCTACACCTCATATATAATTATTGTATTCCATCAAATTAAAGGAATTATTCCCAACCTTTTAACTTGTACTTTTGTTATGCAGACTGGTAACATCTGTGTCACTAGCCTGACTAGAAGTTCAATACATCCATTTAAATATGAAGATCTTAACTCAAATACATTCATGTACAGTGGTGTATATGTAAGTTGTACCATCAGATATAATAGATAGTCATAAATACAGCCATATTACATCTGTTTAGTGTCTGGAAATAGTATAGCTAGTACTTTGAGAAACAGTCTTAAAATATATGCATGCTAACTAATTTTAATATTGTTCGTAATTCTAGTGAAAGTAGCTGTACAAAAAGTCTGCCAGATGCAAGTGTATCATTTGTTCAGGAGAAAAGGGTAGTGTCTCCTGATTTTGATAACGCAGAAAAATCAAAGGAAGCAGACCTGACACAAAACAAAATCAAGAAGAAGAAAAGGAAAGAAAGCAGACCAGATGTGTGTCAGAAGAAGAAGAAAAAGACAGTATCTCCTGATTGTAACAATGAGAAGGAAACAGAAGACCAAAATGCCAGTATACAACATAAGATGAGAAAAAAGAAAAGAAAACAGGATGAAATTGAAGAAACACCTGGAACTGAAAGTCAGCTAAACAGTCATAAAAAGAAATGCAAACAGATTGTAGAAACCAAGGAAAGTCAACCACCAGAGACCTCCTGTTTATCAGAACAGACTCCATCATTGGGCAATTCCAAGGAGAAAAAGACTGTTGAAGATGCTGTACTTGATAACAGCAAAAGAAACAAAATGAAAGTAAAAGAAAAGAAATGCTCAAGGGAGTCTGTTTCTTCTGAAACATCAAATAATGTGCCACAAAATAGTTCCATGATGACTGATATTAATGCGCCTCCTGTGAGTAAAAAGAAACAGGATTCATTGACATGTCAGGAGATGGAGGACAATGGAATGGTGAATGAAGATGAACTTCAAGAAGAAAAATGTTTAAAGAAGCGCAGAAGACGAAGAAGGAAACCAAATGAGAAGTTTATTGAAGAAAAAACCGATGAAATTAGTTATAAAAACAAGAAATCTTTTGATAGGAAAAAGGAATTTCATCCTAAAGTTACAAGAAATGTTATTGATATGAGCAGAAACTCCAACAATCATAAAGTATTTAATGACTCAGAGTCTGAAGAGGATACACATACAACAAACAAATCTGTGACTGGGATGGAGGGCACCAAGGCATCTGTGGAAGAGCAGCAGGAATCATTACAACAAGCTAAGAAAAAGTTGTTACAGAAAGTTGAACAAGAATACAAAAGTATGACACACAGTTCAGATATAGCTGATGGACATTTAATCACAAACCAACTTCCCTGTCAGAGTGTGCAAGGACCGTCCAATAATCCACCTGCACATGAATATGATCAGCTACAGCATCCAGTCAATAAGGATGACCATGTTAGCACTGGTCTGTCCAAGATACAGCTACAGCTAACTGCCTTGGCAAATGGTGTGCCAGTGTACACCAGACAAAAACAGAAGAGGTACTTCAATGCTGGCTTTGGCAAGGAGCTCTCCAAAGAACAACAGCTCAATACAGATCTCACTAACATGTCCTTCGTCATCTTTGTGAGTGTATTAGATATTGTAGGACATGTGTAACAAACAAATTTTATCTTTTACATCGATTGTTTGTGTTTTTTAACTTTTCACATTATATTTAATTTACTGAAGCCAAAGGAAAGCACTAATTCACTTAAGGAATTCTATACTTTGACTAACTCATTTCATCATTGTGACTATTTTCTTGTATGCTTAATGTTAATATCAGTGTAGATTTTTGTTTTGTCCTTCCATCAATGAATCAAAAATATGGTTTGTTTTGATTTTGAGAAAAACAGATCTGATAGACATGTTTTAAACAACAATTGATATTGTAGTGATGTAGGAATCATCAACTGTTTGCTTTCAGAATGACAAGGCTGCTGCTGTACAGAAACCAGACAAGGAAGTAACTTGTGAGGGCCAGCCTCAAACTTTAATCCAACCTCAGATACAAGACTACACAAAATTCCCTCCTTTACAGGGCACACCACGACAAGGAGATAAAATAGCTTATAAGGTAACGAGGTCACCAATAAGGTTATCACTCACCTGCCTTCTCGATATAGGTCACCAACAAGATAGTTACACACATGTCCAGGTCAAACTTAGTTGGAGTTGTGGGTCAGTGTTTGAACACATTGAAGAGGTCATTGGTCATTGTCAGCATTCAGAGTTTTCAGATGACTCTTTAGACTCCCTAAATTTGATTGAGAGGTCTTGAGTTTAAAAAGACCCATCACAATTTTTTGGGAAGTAATATGTGACTTCTAGAAATCGGACTTGGTGCCTGTTTGCATATATACCTGTACTTCAGACTAGTGACCATCTTCTGGCAATTGCATTAATGACTTGGTAACCACCTTATGAAGTAATTGATATATATATAACAGTAAGGAAGGTATATAAAGCTAAAATATGCAAGATTTAGTACCAACATCAGAAATCCTTCAGAGTAAACAACAGTCACTAAGTCTGAAGAAGATTCTAACAAAAGCAAAGTTTGACAACTCTGAACAACACTCTTTCGCAGTATTAAAATGTGGAGACACAAGATGCAGAACATGAACCTGTATATATGAAGGGAATGGTCTGATATTACAGAATGGGAAAACAGCAAATCCTAATGGTAACTTTAATTACAAAAGCAAAGATTCAGTTTATGTCGTTATATGCCCAACTTGTAGAGAATATTATGTTGGTCTAACAGGAAATGCAGTAAGTGAGAAAGTTCGAATCCATAAACAACACTTGAAACACATAAAATTCCACTGAATGCACACCTTAATACACCTGTGTGCAAAGGAACTCACTCCATAATCCCTTGGCAGGTACCAGTACCACAAAAAGACTTTGCAAACAGGAATCGTTTGTAAAATCATTTACACCATTACTTAATAATCATTAACTGTAATGTTTAGTGACCTTACAGGTAGTAACAGTATCACCCACTTCTGTTACTATACAATATGTCATAATGCTATTACCATTGAAATAATTGCTCAAATATTGCCACTACTATGGTGATTTTGTTTTTTTGGCCAACCATCCTCAGATAGTGGGCTATTCAAATTGTCCTACATCCATAGTCTGTCAGTCTGTAAACAATTTTTGTTACCACTATTTGTTGAGAAGTACTGGATGGATTTTTTTCAAATTTCATTTGTAGGTTCCCCTTGGTCATTTGTACTCATTTGATTTTGGATGTAATTAGAAAAATGAAATGGCAGACAGTTAGCTATGTTGGACTTCGACTTTGCAAGATTGTTATCACTATTTCTTGAGAAGCATGTGATGGATCTTTCTCAAAAGTTTTTTTCAATATTTCTTTAGAAATACTGCATACCAGATTTTCCAGGTTATAATCCACACCGATATGTAAGCTGCAGAGCTAATTATTAAAGATTTTTTTCAATTTGATTGGGTAGGTCTTTCTGATATTTCATATATAGGTTCCTCTTTGTCCCTAGTGGTGTCTATTTGGGTTTGGGACTGATTAGAAAAACAAAATGGCCGACAGGCAGCCATTATTTATTTCGCCAAGTAAAGATTGCTATCCCTTTATCTAAAGAAGTTCTGAATGGATCTCTCTCAAATTCCAAACATATGTTCCCTTTGGTCTCTACTTGTATTTTTGGACTGATCAGAAGAGACCAAATGGCTTCCAGATGACCATTTTGGATTGAGCAGGTAAAGATTATCATTGCTATTTCTGCAAAGGAATGCTCAAATTCCTTATCATTAAAAGCAAAAACAGAGAAAATACTTTCAAAGAGCAAATAAAGATCACACAATGGGGGGTGTCAAGATCCCTGTGGGATCTCTTTTTTAATTATCTAACTGGTTCACAGCATATTTACAACTTAAACATAATTCTTTTTTTTGTTTTTTCTTTTGTTTTTATTTTTTGTTTTTTTTTCCATTTTTTTTTTTCATTTTCAACTAGCCGTAAGAGTTGTTTAAGATTATACTATCTGTTGTGTAAATCTGTTTGATGAATACTTAATGTATTCTCCACAGATTCTGGAACTTTCAGACAGTTACACTCCAGAAGTGTCCAAGTATAAGGTATGTGTGAAGAGATTAAACCTCTTTTTGTGCCAATGAAATTGTCATTCATGGATACAGTAACTCATCATGAAATGAATGTAGGAACAAGGAGATGTGAGATAGTAAGGTAAACAGATGTAAATCTTTATAATACTACTCCTGTTGTTCTAGCTGTTGATTTTTAGCTGAATTTAGTCTGAACCTTTTTCAGATGGATAGGTTTGCCTAATAGGGAGCTGAGGTGAATCTTAATGTGTACTTCATCCAACACAGATTAAAGAACTACATAATGTAATTTGGGTTCCCTGGGTAAATTACCCTCAATATGCCAGATGTTACTATCACTCTCTTTGTTCCTGTAACTTTTACATAGCAAAATTGAAGGCACAAGCAAAGAACAATGTAATCTAATTGGTATAGAGCAGGTTTCAGGAAAATAAAAACTGACCAATCACAGAATGACACACTCCTTAGAAGATTACAAGGAGGCAACACCCAACTTCAAATCAAGTACAACATACCGCTTTGCGACCTTGAGACCCGTTGGATGTACATCTAAGGATCGACCTAGTCATTTCCTGTCATACACAAGGTGTCACACATGGAACTTTTTGTCATGAAATGTTTCAGGGGTGCAGAGAGCAAAAGTGATTGTAACCTCTGGAGTATTGAGAAGGTGGCTAATTAGACACAAGGAAAATGAAATACAGAAAATTGTTTTGTAGCCATTTAGACAAAATTTCATTCAATCAAATATGTTAGTTCCACTCTACTCTTTTTACTTTTTTTTAGGAAGGAGTTGTCCTTAATTTTGATCATAATTCACAACTTATAGAAATAGAGACAAAACCAGAATCAGGCAAGTATTTTTGATATATTACACATATTATTATGATACAATATTATCGGTATGTATAAACCTGTGCTGTTGTTCTATTCTCTGATTGTAAGTCTCACTCATACAAGGAGCAGGCAGCATTTTAAGTTCATTTATCCAATAATCAATTGCCATGACCCTACTTTTCCCTGACTTTGCTGCTGTAGTAGAATGGTCACCACTATGTAACCACAACTTTATTGTAGACATAAAGAGACAAATTTGTCCATGCTGTCCAGATAACCTTTGCTTTTCAATCAGAATAAAACTAAGTTTAACTCAGTTCCTGGGTTAAAACATGAAAATAACTGATATCTCTGTCTTGTAATAATGTATGTCAGCTTAGAATGAGCAAATGCTACCTCTACAAGGCCCACTCGACCCGAGGGGCAGGTCATTATAGGGGCCAGTGAGATCACCACCTTCTAAGAATGAAAAAAAAAAACCAATTTAGTATGAAGAATTAACTACACTCATGCTATCTATTGACAGGGTCTGGCCCAACCTTGTTTTGATATTTTTGAGCCTAAAGTAAATACATGTAACTACTATACATCTTGACCAAGTTTTAAATGTAAAGTTTTTGACACATTGAACTTTTAATCACTTTGTTATATCAAGGAAGAGTACATCTCCACAACGTTTAGGAGCATTGCACACAATTGAAATAATTGAGTTTAATTCTGTAAAATCCAACTCTTCCAGACCAGGTGATCATTTTTCAACAAGACATGCATTTATTTATCTTTAGGTTCTAAAAGTCAGAGCCCAAAACAGAAATATGATGTTAATTCTAATGCTTTGATTACTGGAACATTCAGTTGTATATGAATACTCTGGGCTTTAGCCCGAGAAGAAAGTAGGTTTGAGGATTGGGCTTTGTTTGGTAATATTCATTTGTCTGCATTTAACTTGGATAATAAACGTCATGTAACACTTTCCCTATTCCTGGCCTGATGACTATTATAAAAGCATCACCCAGATTTTAGTTATGTAACTTATCCATTGTGACAAGACTAGAAATAGAGAAAAATACATCACATCTACTTTTTTTTTGTGATAAAATTGATGTGGACTAGTTCTCGTTTCATCTTATTATTTTTTGGCAACTGCTAGAGATATTGATCTACAAAAAGTATGATGCTTGTCTCCTACGTAAGGTATGATGATGATCCCTTGCATCAAGTGGTTTTGTTTTTCCAATAATTTTTCAGTTAAAATTATTGTTTCATAAATTGGCTAAACTTATTAGCATTCAGTAATGATTATTCAAATATATATATGTTGTGCAAGTAAACAAATTATGTCTTTTCCCCCACAATAGATTCCAGACTGCAGGGAAAGTTTGATCTGAACTGTGACGAGGATAATATTCACACAGAAACAAAGGTAATGTATAGATGTATATGTGATACTGGTATATATGTTTGTTTATTATATCTTCACGATTAAGAGGGGATGTAATGTTGTTACTGTACCTACACAACACCTAAAGTTAACAGTGCAGTATCTAGTGACATCATTCCAGAAGGAATTTTTATTAAACTTAACACAATTATAAAGGTAAGTTCCAAGATTTTGTAAATGTCGGCCACCCCAACACACATTTCAGATTTTGAATTTGACCTACAATTTACGGTTAATTAGAATTTTTTAATTGATTGCACAATGTTAAAAGTTTTTCATACAAGTGTTAAGCCAACCAAACTTTGTTAATTTGTGTTATAGCTAGTAAATCTCAAAACTACTGACATATTGGGTTATTGTGAAGGAATCCAGTTCTTTGATGAGTTTTTGAAGGGGAAAAAATACCACTTTGGATATTTTGAGAAGTATAGCTAAAAACATTTTTTTCAAAGTTGTTTGCAGTGGATTCACGTGTAATTCTTGTTTATCATGGTAGATGTCTTGATTTTTTCTTGTGTTATGTAATAGAGCCCCACTATATTACTTTGTGCCTGTGTGTTCATATAGTTGTGTGAATGTGAGTGTGCATCTGTGTCTGTTTCAAAAAGCTTGTGTACAAATTCTACACCTGATTCAATGTTTGTGGTCATTGGACAAGGTAAAAGGGCCAAAGGTCACATTTGATCACTTTTGAAACAAAATCATATATACAAGGTATTTATTTCATACCCCTCAATAAGTATCATTTCAAATTCTAAACCTGGTTACCATTAGTGGTAAATTTTGGTGACTGTTGTCAAGATTACAAGGTTAAAGGTCGAAATTGACCTCTTGAAATAAAATGATCCTGGTGTGATAGTATGACCAGTATATATGTTGGCCCTTGCAGAATTCCCTTCCTTGTTGTACTGTATTTTGTTGTATGAAATTGTAGTTATCAGGATGTTATGGCTGTTGAGTTTGATGACACTATATCACAGTTAGTACATGGAGCAATTTTACAAAGTGAATGAAATACCTTTTATTCTTATTTTCCAGCAATCATTGCCTTGGAAGTCTCTAATGGAAACAAGGTTACTTGACATTCTGTAGAACACAAGAAAGTGAGCTAGGCTTTATTTGTACAGTGTTAAAAATAAACAAAACCAGATGGAGAGCAGTGCCATTTAGAGGCCTTGTTTACAATGTTAAAAATAAACTTAACAAGATGGGGAGTGGTGCTATGTGGAGGTGACATGTACAGTGCTATAATTAGACCAAAACTCGGTGGAGAACATTGCTAAGTGGAGGCCCCATGTACAGTGATAAAAAATAAAACAAGATGGAGAGCCCAGTCATACAGTGGTTAATTGTACAGAGTTAAAAATAGACTTAACAAAATGGAGAGCATGACCTTGTGGAGGCCACTTGTACAGTGAGTTAAAAATAGACTAAACAGTATTAACAGACCAAAAAGATTGAGAGCTGTGCTGTCTGGAGTATAACTGACAGACCACCAGATGATGAGCTTGACCACATCTAAGCCATGTATGGTATATCATAGAAAGAACAATAGATAGTGTGCCACACAATGTTGTGGCCATCTGTACAGTGTACATACAGTCGGGACTGAAAATACTGATCCAAGTTATATTTAGGCCTTTTATTAGTGCTGTAAACAGTGCACCAGCTGTTGAGCAGGGATTTGATTAGTCCTGTTGTAAAGTGTTCAAGACAGAAACACAAAATGGTGAGAGGTGTTTGAGGTATTTTGTAAAGTGTGTTCTAAATGGTTCTGGTGAAGGTGAGCTGGGCCTTGGTTGACCTTCAGTGCAATTTGTTAATGACAGAATATATGATGGTGAGAGGGTTTGTGTGAAGCTATCTACGTTAAACTTTGTGATTGTTAAAAAGAATTTAAAAATTGTCAGAAATGTCATGCAGTTTAATTATCTTTTTAAATATCAGATAGCCTATGCATGTGATAACATACTGATGAATATTATTAGAGGTACATAGGAACAAGTATTTTTGAAATTAAAAAAAAAAACAAAATTGGACATGAAACTTGTACTGCAGGTTTATCTGACAATAAGCCCACCTCTAGTAAGACATTCATCTGTATATTATACTAATGTTCAATGACTTTACAATCAATCAATATAATAAATATCATACTGTTTAATCAAGCTTTGGAAATTATGCAATGAGAGTCTAATTTAAATTGCTTGCATTTAAGCTAGGACAATGAAACTTGATGGATACATTGATCATGCTATCACAATGTGCAGTGTATCAAGTTCATAGCCATGACCATATCACTAACAGAGTTATTGCCCTTCATTGAAAATATATTGTCCAGAGCAAAACTTTGCCTGCATTTAGGGTAGGATAATGTAACTTTACACAAGTATGCAGTGTACCAATGTTAGGGCCCACAACCCCATACAGTTATTAACCTTTGTTAAAAAATTCTCGTCCAAAGCATTTAAGTTATATTAAGCTATGATCATGAAAGTTACATTGATCATACGAAGACAATGTGCTATTGCCCTTTGTTAACATTTTGTATTAGAAGTATTACTTTGCCTTGATATTGAAACATGATGTATACATCAGTCAAATAAAAGCAGGGTGCAGGTCTGGGCATATGAACCCTCAGTACAGAGTTATTTCCCTTTGTGAAAATTTTGTTGTCCTGAGCATAGCTTTGCTTCCATTAAAATTAGGATCATGAAATACGTGTATACATTGGTTATGTTAAGAGAAGGTTCAGTATACCAAATTCAGAATTATGGCCCTTTGTTGAAATTTTGTGTCCATTGAAGTCAGTCTCACTGATACTCATAATGTTGATATTGTCTGGAGATCTGTCACTTTCCAAACTTCGTAGACTCCATGACCAAAGTTGTTTCCTTTACGAATCTCTTCTCTCAGTTTTCTACCAGTTCTTTAAAACTTAGTAGCTTTATAACTGTGATACAAAAATGTATTATCTTACATAACAACTAGAATAATTCTTGGGCTTTGATTTAGTAGCTTTTATATTTTGTACAAAGATCTTCCTCAGTCTTTCACCAGTTAATCTGAAATTTCACAGGCTTTATAACAATTATCTAAAATTTTCTTTTAACACCTTTTTCTTCCCTTTATCTTTTCCTGATATCTCCTTCCTCAATTTTCTGACAAATTTCTTTCAAACTTGTTTTCCCTTTTGATATTTTGATTCATTATCATTTTCCTTCATTTTTTTCAGATGCAATAAATATGTGTAGAATTCTTTGGCATGAAACAGCTTGTTCTTCTGTTCCACAGTACTCTAGTTGCCAATATATTTCAATTTTGGTAGTGATGACAACTTGACTTTATCTTAGAATGTTTTAAACCCCTATTGCAGGTCTTTCCGGGTCTTGCGTTGAATTCTGTTTTTTCATGAATTTAAACCACCAAATATATCCATAATCCACTATATTCAAAACATGAAGAAATGTATTGGGAATGAAAGGATGCTTTTTATTATAAATTACACATAAGTCATGAAATTTCAAACTAAATAATAGAGAATAATTATATTAACTGGAGCACCAATACAAGTTGTTATATATTATGTATTAGGTAAGATATGCATGTAAACCTCTTGCACACTCTACTTGTTTGGCAATCACTCGGGTTTGATTCACAAAGGCACAACAGTTTATGCAGTTACTTTGCGAACACAATTTTAAACAAGAACACAATTATATCTGCCAAAATATGAACTAAAGAAATGGATATGACCATGTAAAATTCCTAATCACAATTAATGAATAGATTGTATTCAATTAAAACTTGTCAAAAGACTTGTCAAGTTTATGTTTGCATTAAAGAGGCAAAATGGTCACCTAAAACGTTGATAGATGGGCTTATTACTTGTGCATGCTTGGTGAAAGTTCGGAACATTTTGTAGTTCCAGCCACCAAAATATCACTTATATATTTTGGGCAATTAGAAGAATTTTTGAGTGATGTTTAACTATGATTGAAAATTCTCAAGTTGAAGATAACAATGAATGTGGAGCAGTTTGAATGCCTCACCTATTTTAGGTGATCTATTAAGGCACTATTGATATACAATACTAGCACAAGATACACCTCTGTAAAATTCACAAACACACACAGTCCTAATGGTACTCATGATACTGGCCATTGACAAGATCTTCACACAAGACATGGTTAAGCTCACAATTATAATACATAATTATGTAGTAGTATTTTAAACATATTCATCACTATGACCTACACAATTTCAAAGGAATAGAGTGCTGCATCCAAAAAAGTTTCCTTTGTTAAAATAATACATTACCGGTATATAAAGGATCACAATAAATTACATAAAGCATAAATCAAGAGGTACTTTTAATGTATTTAGCAAATAGCTGCCCAGTTTAACTCTACAGCTATTTTACATATAATATTGGTACACACTACAAAAACATGTACCAGTACACTACAGGTATTCATAATAACTTAATGCTATCTACTACATAGGATATGTGTAGATTATTTACTATACTGTACATATAAAAATATGATATGTTCTATCTTCTCTTAACACAGCTCTGAATACACAACATATCTTACTGCAAACAATATTGAGCAGAAACACAAACATGATGATACATTAAGTCTGAAGAGGCTATCTTTTGATTTAATAAACTGTTATGGCTGTTGTGCATCCATTCAACAGTTGAAATAAAAAACATTTGGCTAACCCAATTGTCTGTCTTAAATTGGCAAGTGTTAACTATCTAGTCTATTGATTGTTTGTGACAAATTTTTGGTTACATCAATATCAAAAACCCCATCTAAGCCTTATTGATTTAAAATTTAATATCATTACATGGAAAGTAAGGAAGTACACCATTTATGAATTATAACCCTACTACATACAAGGATTTATGTGATGGTATATGTTTATTTACCTTATTATGGCACTTCAGTGTAAAAAGGACCTTACAATACACTGAGATGTTAAGTGGAACATCACTGATTGAGAGAATACTTCCTACATAGAGTTCTGTGACCAAATCTTTAAAGTATTTCCATTCTTTGATGAATCAAGTTTGCTGTATTTACAGTATAACACTAAAATATGGTATACTGAAAATATTCTGGAGTCTTAACACCAATCCATATCTGTCTCAAAACAACTACTAAAAGATATCACAATCCAATGACATCCAATAATGTAAATTAATCGGAGATCATTACACATGTGTCCTGTGAATTTGTAATACTGTAAACAGTGAAGATGAACAATACAGTACATACTTACACAATAATAACTTATGTAGTTTATCAGGAAGGCATTGTATGCAATTTTATTTTTATCTAGGTCAATGCAATGATATATATGGCAAAAACAGTGACAATACTAAAAATTTAGGATTATTAAAACTTTCCAAATCATCATTCCAATGCCAAAAGTTATTGTTTATCTGTTTAGTAACAAATATTCTGAATATCTTAATACAATGGGTAAGTAAAGTATGAAGTTTTGATGCTTTGTAGGATTTGGTGACACATGGAAAAGCAACAATGAGCTTACCTGATGTACAACAAAAACATTATCACTGGGAAAAAACTTTTTCATGAACTGCAATTAAATAATGTCACTCTTCATTACTGTACATGTATTCTTAATTTAGCGCTTTTCACTTTGAACGTACTGCACTAAAATATCTTGTTGTTGATCACATTTTCTGAATGTAATCTGTATAGCAATCATGGTGGATGCACAATTTCATCATTGTGCTAATTTGCCAAAAGGTTATAACATGCTAAAATTTGATAGCGCCAAGTAAGTACATCCACAGTCTAAATTAAATTCACAACAGTAATATTTGTGTATCCTTTGAAAGACCTATGATTTGCAGTGCATGTCCTTCTCACAGTTAGCTAATGGATCCTGGACTCGTATAGTGCTTTCCTTTTTTATAACTTTTTAAAAATCAGTTTAAACATCCTCATCTTGAATTTTCAAAATGTGACATTGTCGAGATGTAGCCTTTTGACCCCTGTGACCTAGATAACTCCCAAGGAGAGATGAGGAGAGTGAGTTCCTGCTATGGCCACTAATAAAGGAAGATCGCCTGGCTCAAACCTGCAACAGAAATTGTAATTAAATACAACAGGCAATATTTCAGATGGTCTGTACTTTTTAACCAGCAGTGGAAACTCACTTCACAACCTAATGTTATTAAATGTATTGACAATTTTACGATATATAGGAAGTCATTCAAATTTTGAATCTAACACGTTCTATTTTCACATCTTGTAGTCATGAACAAAATAATGTTACAAAAGGAATCAGTTGTGCCATAACAAAAGTGAAAAATTTCTAACGAAGCTTTCACTTCGGCATATTTTTCATATTTCAAGTACAAACCTTAACCTTGGATAGATTTTCTTTTTTACCTTAACATCCAACAGCTCCTTGTTATTAAGGTATTTTAAGTACATATCTACAGCTATGTCATATTGCCATATTTCATATGTCAATATTGCAAGATCCATATTATGAGTAAATTTAAACAGGTACACATCCTAGACCTGTGCGAGATCTACAATGATACATACCCTAACAGCTGTGTCAGCTCCTTAATGTTACACTTTTTTACATCCTTCAGATATTCTGCCAACATTTTGCTTTTGAAGAAAATTTCCTGAAGTCTATCTTCTAAATGCATGAGACACTGCAAAGTTAAAAAACGAAAGTAACACATAATATTCTGGTATCTGAATATTTAAACAATGTCTGAAAAATAACAGAACATTTTACCAGTGCACACACATTAAAATATTGTATTATTCTGAACATACATCACTTGTCTATAGAGGTTCCATACCTTTAAAATCTGAAAAATTATTCCAAGCATGAACATTGTTCCATTTTCTAAATTTCAGCATTATCCATTGATGACAGATTGAGTTATAGCAAAGATGTTTTTAAGGAAACCTAATTTCTCTTATTTTAAACAAGACTATTAATGCTGCTTTCCAGAAGTGTAATTGCAGAATTCAAACTTACAAACTCTGAGCTCATCTTTAGTTTACAAAGTTGATGGACTCCTTCCATGAGGTTACACACAAGTTGGGAAGCTATTACTGGCTTAGTTAGAGGTTCAAATGGCTTATCAATGTCCCTACTACTGGCCACATTGACACACCTGAAAAGATAGGATAAAGCAAAATATCTCTAGAAGCCATGCATAAATCACTTGTATTTAACTTGAATGACAGTTTGACAATGAATGAGTAAATCTGACCAGGGTGATTTTAAAGTTGGATCAGAATGAACTCAATGATCTTATTTTGCTTTCTGATAAGCTTTAACTAAGTCTTTTGAGACCTGTATTAATATATCTGCAGGACTGTCCTGTTTTACGCCCGAAATGTTACAATGCTGACCAACCAGGTGAGGCCAAAAAAGTAAAACATATCTAAGCTGTAAACACTAACCACTGATCTGTGTCAGCTATAACACACACCGCTTCACCTATGGGCTCATCCAACACAGAATGCTGCAGGTAAAACAAACAAAACAGTTAGCCTGATGAAGTACAATGTTAAAATCTAACAAATAATCAGTCCCTAGTATGTTGTTATTGATGTATCGCTTTATTAGTCTGTATCATCAAAAACTTCACAGAAAGAGCTGTAAGCTATCACTGGAAGGCTATTATTTGAGAAGTCCTAAATGGTTTAATAGATGCATCCCATTTACAGACCCTCAAGCATAAAATTCATTTGAAGTGTCTTAATAGCAATAACTTATCCAATGTAACCTGACAATTTAGAAATTACTATAAACCATTAACACTACTAAGATTAAAAACTCAATACACCTATACACACCTGGACAGCAACCTCCAAATCACTACGTAGTTTTTCATGAAAGCTGTTTTCTGAAGTACCATGTAAAACAAAGTCAGACAGGTAATGGTCGGAGTATCCTGCCATCAGTGACCGTCCAAAGTTACGATCAAATACTTTGATACTACTGCTGCTGAGCTCACCACTGAAACTATTTTCAAACATGAAATAAATACATCATCATTGGATGTTGCAATTGCTTTAATAGAATTGTCAAAACTAGCGCAATTGGACAATTACTAGTCATTTTTGGTCACATCAACATGTGTTAAAAAGGATGAAACAAATACTGTATGTTTACAAATTTTGGTCATATGTGATTGTTTTGGCTGAGGTTTTTCTATTAAGTAAGTTCTTAATTCATAAAACCCATTTTATTAAAAGTATATGAACCTATTTACATTCATTGATAACAAGAGATTACATCACTTTTCAATTTTATGGAAAACTCACAACTTTGTAAAATACATTTATTACAATTTTGCCAATGAAATATAGGAATTTATAAACTTTTCCACTACTTTTGTAGTTTTGATAAACCACACTAGTGCTTTCTAGTGCATTGAAATGTGTCAATTTTCTTGTTCAGACCCAAATAAAGTGAAGGTTGAAAAAGTGGTTTTCCATCAAATCATACCCATTGATATTTCTGGTCTACCGTCTTCTCTAATTTGGTATATAAAACAGCTTTGTAAGTGATTCTTACCAGATTATAACATAAATAGAATACAATTTTAAGCAGCCTACTGAAAATGGCATCCTTTTGTCAAGCATAGTATCAAACTATCTGACATCAAGAATTTCCCTAACCTTTTTGAACACCCCTTTATTTTTGCATCTGCATTTTCTCATGTTTTCCCTTTAAAAAACTAATGAAAAGAAATTTTGATTACATAATTCACTTGTATGACAGAATTCATATATATTTTTAACTCACGCAAATAGGTAGTAAATGGAAACCCATTATATTACAACAGGGATTTGTCCTTACACAAAATTGCAAAACATATCAAGTTCTATACCTATAACAGATTCATTACTTACTTGGGCATGTCCAGCTCTTTACATCCTGATGTAGGATCAGATAAATCTACATCATAACTACTTGTGGAGGACAGGTGACGCCGTCTACTGAGCTCAGTGGGAGTAACAGATCTAAAACATGAAAATATAGCATCGTTACAGCAGAAAAATCCATTGGCAATAAGCTCTTCTTCTGTTCCAGATTTGCTTTGATACATCTAAGACTTGGTCTAAAAGGGCTTTAAGAGTTTAAAAAGAATTCATCATTATTCACATTTAAAAGTTTTAAGAGGAAAATATGATTACTTATTCAAAACACTATTCAAGATAACAGTGAAATAAATAATGATATATCATGGATGCTCCAGATGTATAAAAAACTAACCTGCATCTTCCAGGTGCAATAGATGTGGGACGGCCAGAGATATGACTTCTATCTGTACTGTACTGACGAGAAAAGGATGATAAACGAGGACGTATCCCACCACCAAATGACCCAAGGCGATTCTCATGCGTGCCTTGTAACTCAGCAGTAGGACTATTAGCACAACCTGCCAGTTCTCTATTAATACTATCAGTAGAGCTCCTGATGGATTCAGACTTGACCAGCGGATAACTAACAATCCTATCTTTGGCATCTAAATTATCTATAGTTTTAGTTTCTATATTGGGATCAGTAAAATATTCATCAAACATGCTATTGCTTCCTTCTTTAAGATATCTGGCCCTAATGTCGGACTCTTTGGTTGTGGGTATCTCTGTCACTTCCTTTTTGGAACAAGATTCCTGTTCTTCTAAGAGTTTTTGTGTCAACCTGGACACACTACAAGAACTGGACGGAGAAAATGCTTGTGGTTTCACTGGGTTAGGTGTAGGGATTTCAATCAAACCGCTACTGAGAATCTCAGCAGATCTGGAAACATTCTTAACATTTTCTATTGGTACAGCCTCCAGTATCTGAGACACGGACAGACTACATGGCCTCTGAAGTGACGAGTATCCTTGATCTGGTGGATGAATTGAGTGATAGCCCTCGTCAGTCAGAGAATTGTCATCTGGCAAATGTAAGTGTAAATCATTATCTTTAACACTTTTTATTGTCTTTGGAATAATATCTTCATACTCCTTACTGATCCTTCTCAACTCTTTTTCCACACTAATCTGACGAACACATTCTTTAGGGGAACACAATAGTCTTATTTTACCGTCATCACATGCATCCTTTTCATCAAATTTACTGGGTTTCACTGCTCCATCACCAGAACACTCTGATGTTTTTCTATGAGATCTTTCCGTATGTGTTATACCTTGACTTTCATCACTTATTTTACTGGAGTTCCAACTTGTTTCTATTCTTTCTTTACTTAAGTTTGTCTCTCCATGCCTCCTCATACTTGCAGAATTTTCTTCTCTAACAGGTAAAAAGGCATCAGGTTGTTTTTCTATGATGGGAGTTATGTCCTGTCTTTCACTTTCCATCTCAAAAGTGAGATCATCGAGGCATGATTTTAAAGATCCTAGCTCATCATTTTCATGAACATCACTACATCGGATGAAGTAAGTGAGAATGTACAATATTTTTTTCACTAGATCAGCTTTTTTCCCCACCACCACTGTTCTTGCCAACTTCAGAGGGAAGCCAATAGCTCCATACAGGTCACTGTAACAAAGACCAACATATACCAATGTTGACAAACTGCAGTCTATACCCAAAGTAAATCAGTGTAAATTAAACAAACCTACAACTTGACAATATGCCCTAGATTTTCAAACTAGCACACTAACATGACACCAAGGGCCCACTGTGTGTTTGATCATCTATATCCTACACACTTTACTCTATCCAGGATTACCTGATCTATTTCTAACCCTTATCACACATCTAGATATAGCATAACAGTCTATCACTAAGTGAAGTATTTCAAGAATTTTATACTTATGATATCCAAATCTTTCTTTATTATACACAGGTGAGATAATTTAAGACAAGCATTATGGCACAGCTGTAGTAATGGAATGGTATTATTAATTTAACTTAAATCTAGATAGGATGATTACAAAAGATTAGATGTTAAATGAAGAAATAATTTTCATGATTCAAAATATGACAAAGATCAGAATCATAGAAAGATAAACAAACCACATCTGATTGTCATGTCATATTTCAACTTACATATTTATATTTCATATACAGATTTCAAAACATGTGACACTTACCCAAGTTGAGCCCACAGAGGATTGTAAGGGTGTGTTTTAGCAAAGGTGTCCACCTGTATTGAAAGTAATATTCTATTATGAAGAAACAAAAAAAAGAAGTACACAATTCAATATTTAATCTGTTTACAGAGGGTTATTATACATTCAGTAACTTGTTCAGCAATGTTCCCTATCTAGTAGCATAAACCTCTTCCTCAAACACACTTTTCAAGTTATGAAACCTACAACTGACAACATGAAGATTCCAAAACATTGCTACATCATTAACGTCATTAATATATTTCCAAAGCAATTTAAGCATGTTAAATAGTCCCTACCCAGTTTGGAGTGTGGTTGTGAAGATAGGTTCTGATTGAGGTACCGCCTGCTGGTGTAACTGTAGGCACCCATGCCAGGTGATGAGTGAGAACTGCTGTTACCAGGGTGCTCATAAAACTGGAAGACATATACATTTTTTTATTATCCTAGTAATCAGATAATTTGATAGTTGCTCTGAAAAAAATTACTGATAGTAATTATATACTTATCTAATGTATCATAATCCTGGTAAACATGTAAATGAGTTGATATGGAAAAGAACAGTTTTCATTGGTGATCTCAAAATAATCATTACTGTTTGTTTCTCTATGTTCAAACCTTTTTTGTATAATACATATGATTTTAATCAAAAGTACCACCATTACAAATATTTTTTTTTATTATACAAACAAAGATAAAATCAATATATAACTTACAAATTTGTGCTCTTGTTGTCATATTTAGACACAAGAAACATAAACTGTTTCATAAACTTTTCACACATGACATATCTGTAGCTACTATGAGACATCATGTTCAACCACACTGGTTCAGACAAACGTGGTGTCGTATATAAGTCCTGAACATCTCTCCGAAAGTTCTCCAATGCCTGGAAACAAAGTCAAATTTCAACAAAAAGGATAAACATGGCAGCTCTGTCCAAATCAATAATAACAATGATAAAAGATGGACTACAAGCCCAAACTCCTCAAAGTTTCATTAGCTTTTTTACCAGCAGCTGGTAAGTTTTTTTAATGACAAAAATGGAAACATTTTTCACTAACCACTTATAAACTGTGACCAAGTTTAAGCAACTATAACCAGACTGTTTAAACATCTTATTCTCTAATCAATGTTACATTCAAGAAAACATTTCACTTCACCACTTTAAACATCTGAGCATTATTCGCAGTAAACCATCCCCTCTTGCATAATGTGGCTCTTTTCACTTGCCCTCTCATTAACATCCCATATTGTGATTGTACCCTTTTCAATTTTTCTATCTGTTTCTGTATCTCCAAGAATGTATGTCAAACCATCTTTGTAAGACAAGCCAATAAATTAACAATACTTACAAAACAACCATGAAATGCAACACTACAAATTCATATTGGTCTTAATCAAGTCAAAACTTGAATTGTACAACAAAGCTGTGTTCACTAATTTTAGCTGTAAAATATATGGCATCTCACCTCCATGACAATGTGGACAAATTTCTTGCGATTGTGGTAGGCATGGCTCACCCCTGCCTTAAGCTTGTCCAGGTGGCCCTCAAACAGTGTTATGTGAGAGAAAAAGAAATTCTCAAAACACCTGAAAAATAACGAAAAATGTCATAGCAGCTCTTCTTTAAAGAATATACCAGTATCTTGTGTATTACAAAATAAACTTTTAAAGTTTGGATTTTGCTTGGTCTATATAAGCAATAAATATAGAAGAATGACAATCATCTAGTTTAATGCCTTTTGAATTTCGGGAAGTTCTATCAGATCATATATTTTACCTATTGACTCCCTGACAATCCTTATCTTCTTCCAATCCAAATAAGATGCCCAAGGCAATTTTGGACTGTTTCTTGTTTGATGAGGATGCTGAAGAGGTTGTACACGATGAAAAACTCTGCTAAATACACAAACATTGGGAAATCAAAATCCAGCATCGAACAAGACATTTATCTCCACAAAATCATCACTTAACAGTCTGTATCATTACATATAAGGGAATTCTTAATCAATTAATACATAAATGCATCGGATTGACATCTACTGTTTTCATTTACCTCATGTGCCACCAAATTGTCTTGCGAGTTTCGTTTCTTAAGTCCACTCTCTAAAGATGTATACTGCACCCTCATCCATCTGCGATGTAGACTGTTATAACTGTTATAACTACTAGTATTACTTCCAGGTGATGGGAATGGAGTATGGAAACTGCCACTTGAGGTTACTGAAATGCAAATTCATACCAGTAAGGAAATGCATAGTAACATATCATGTTGTAATAATTATGAAAAGATTATGATCACCATTTTTTTTTACAAAGGGTTGCAACTTATATTAATTTTTTATCTATTTCAAATGACAACTTCTGGACCTGTTTAAAAACTTACATGATGCCAAACCACTGTCTTCATCAATGTTATCAAAGTTGGCTCGTTTTGAGTGAGAGGATAAGGGTACATCCATAGGAACACTTTCAGCTACAAAAGCAGAATCAAACATATATATGTTTGCCAGCATATGAGAAACAAAGTTCAGAAGTTCCTATTATGTCCATCATGTCCGAATCACCACATAGTTTGCAAGACAAAAATGATGGACATATTCACAACTTATTGATATTTTTAGCCACCCATACCACCTGTACTTGATTATAATTATTCGCTCTTGTTACAAGTAGGTTACAGACATGCACTGCAGTTGTTGTCCAGTTTTATACTCTATTGAACAGACTTTGATCTTAATCACTTTCTCATCTTTAATTCCATTTTCAAATCATTGTTATTGACAACAAATTACCTGTCTGAGCTGTTCTACAGAAATTTTAACTATGACCAATAGATGATTATCCGAGATAACCCTCAGAAATGGTAGAATACTGTAATCTTTAAACAAGTGATCTGGACAACAGTATGTCCAAGATTCAATTTACATACAAGAGTAAAGTGAAAGAAAAACAGTGATATTTATATCTTACCCAAGTAACCTCCATTTCTATCAGTACAGGATATAGATTTTGGTTCAGTGGGATCTGAATGACTTTGTAGACTGAGAGATTCTGAATCCACTTCACTGCAAAGTAAAACAACAAAATTAGCATCATTTGAACACAAAAAGGATTTTGTTTTCTTTTTAGTATAAACTTGATTAATTGCTGATAAAGGCTAGATCCTGTAAACCTGACATTATTGACTGATTATAAGACAGCCTCCAAGACAACATGTGACATGATCAAGACACAACGATTTTACCTAATATTTTGTTACATCATACATGTATTCTCTAGACTGTTGCACCACATCATAAAATTATTTCACTACAATGAATTTAGTATAATAGCCCCTATACATACCTTCCTAATGACTCTCTTTTTGGTGCTTCAGGTACAAATACCTTCGTCAGCATCATTTGAGGAGGAGACCTAAATAACAGCAGTACATAATCATTTATGATTTAACTAAAAGACAGACAACTGAAATCAAAGGACAATGAAAGATATATCATTTTAGTATTCACTTGATCACATAGACTTATAAGTGATAGTCATGTATTTGCCAATGCAATATGCACTTAATTATGTAGACTTGAAGTGATATCCCTGTGTATACAATTTCAATACATACTTAATCATATAGACTTTAAGGAGTGACCCTACATATTCTATGGCAGGAAACCAGAGAACCCAGTGGAAAAGCCCACATGGTAGAGTAGGTGATCCTACACCTCATTCACATCCAATCAGAAAATGACTCAGTGACCTAGGTGAAAGACATACATAGTGCGTTACCAATTCACCACTTGACCATCAACACAGATTTTAAGCCATGATCCTGTAGGTGCCATTCTAATACTCACTTCGTCAAATGAACTTTCAGCGATGACCCTGTATATGCCATTCCAACGCTTCCAAACATAATCTCCTCCAGACTCTGTACATCTGATCCTGGTTTTGTGAACTACAAAATGCAAATAATTTCAACATTTCATTACGTTTTTCAGATCAAAATTTTCTGATAAAGTCAAACTTGTCTTTTGCTTTTTTCAATTTAAATTATTTTGACACTACACATGTTAAAACAACCCGAGAGATTTTGTTTCTATGCCATGTACAGATTTTCATATTTGAATGATTAAGAAAAAAAACTGTTTCTAAAGGAAGTCTCTTACCAGGAACTTTGACTGCCTTCCTCCACATATCTGTTCGCTCGGTCCACATAATTTTGTTTTCGGTGTAACAAATTTTCTGAGACCATGATAGCATTTTGGCTGCAAATGAATTGATATGGACATAATTACATACACAGATCATACAGAAATCAAATGAAAGCAATCATATAACTTGTGTTTATTACAAAGAGACAATGACTCAAAATTAACTTGGCTGTTGACAGGGTGACAACCTCCAGAAAGTACATAACTAATGTAAACAAATATACTTACATATAAAAATGCCACCAAATAAATATTAATTTTCACCTATATGGCTATAACATGTAACAGGAAAAACCAGAAATACTCTTAAATAGATATAATCATGTCATCTTTCACACTGAAAATAACAATTTAGTAAAGAAAAAGTACACAAGTAAAAAGTATATATATATATACAGACCTGTGGCTCAAAATTCCTTTTGACAGCCTTGGAATCAAAGAGTAAGGTTCTATCCCTTTCATTATCTACATATATCACCAATCGTATCTGGTCTGGGTCAAATTTTGGCGTCTTCCACCTAAAACACAAAACATTTGGGGTATTATCCAATACAGTTTGTCCACTTCCTTTATTGATCACAGATTTAGAGTAAGAAGAAGAAATAAACAGCGAAAATACCTAAGATTCATCCACAAAAGCAATTAGTTTCACTTGACATTTATCATGTGTATATATATCCAAATAATACATGTACAAAAAAATGAATGCACTGAGCAACTCAGAAAGAAAATTGTGAAAATTACAACATAAATTGCAGGATATATATCATCTTTAATAAAATGAAAAAGTATCTGATGAATGTAACAGAAAAAATATATATTACTGAATATATTGTTATAACAAATGAAACAAAATTGACTTTGTTCCCCTTTTTTTAACCTATGTTTTTTACTACTTTGAAAATACATAAGTGAAAGTACTGTGACCATGATGGGAAAGCAAGTGCCTCTGTGTGTGTGTGCAAGAGATGACAATAAGTTTCGGCAAAGTACCTCTTAATGGTATGCTACTAAATTACCAGTAAATAACTAGTTTTCAAATGACAGTCATAATGTTTCATGGACCAGTATGAATGAGTCTTTTAAAATGCATTTAAATTTCAAGCATGGTTTGACAGATTATAACATAATGCATATTATTCAGCTATTGAAGTTTTAATACTAATAATAATTGAAAGCATGCATTTTCCATGCAATCTGCACATCACTTAGTACCTTTTCATACAATAAACAAGAAGCATATTTCACTCACCTAGATATAATAACAATATCAAATTATTCTAATTAAAAGTAATACAGTAAATAATTGGCTTTCAGTGCCATTACTGGCCAGAGTGAGAAGATTTGCAGGACTTAAGCAACCAAAATTGTGTATGCAGTTGTTTTTCAGATGGACTTACATCACTTAATACTAAATTTTAAAAATTGTATTTTCCTTTTTTCATTCATAAAGCCTAACTTGCTTAGAGCAAACTGATAAAATAAATTGTTCCGATAATAAATTTGTTAACATTTCTTTAAAACTAATGATTTTTATGTTATCAGGTAGGATAGATTTGTCAGATACTTTTAGATTCCATGCAATAATTTTAAGTAGTAAACATGTATTTAAAAGGTTGAATACAGAGCATTGCATTTACCAGAAATTGACAGGAAAGCATTGGTTATTGGACAACTAAATATTTGTCTAAGGTCATTGTATGGGAAAAAACAGGAAGAGTAACATTACATTTTTTGACAATCAAAACACATGTGATTGTGATATGCATCTGTAGACCCTTGTAGAGGAGATTGGTAGTACAGACGTACCTGTATGTAAATACACCAGCCAAAAAGTAAGAAAACATTCTCAAATAATTCAATATACTTGTATACTTACATAGACTGAATATGCCTATTGAATATTAAACATGTATTTAATATTTAAAGATAAAGCTCGCTCTCACGCATACATACATAATATCCTGATTTCCCCTATAGCTAGCAGCCTTTCAGCAGGTCATTTAAGTTTGGAACATAACTGTATGTAAGACTTAAAGATTTTACTTTAAACTTTGCATTGTTTAAGCTATATACTCAGTATCATAATTTCGTCATTCAAGTTACTTTATTCATCACAGACTTTAATTAGAAAGGCTTTCAAGAATGTTCATCGTGTTTTTTTTTTCATTTGATGTCATGAAAACAAAAACATACACTTAGGAGTGGATTGTTAACCTGGTTAAGTTGCTCAAGTCCAGTCACACCGTATGATAAAGTGAATTTTAAAAATATTTTGCTTTGAAAACATGAGGATATTTATCATTCATTTTCAAATTATCATATGGACTGTGACTAGATCGCGATTAATAACAGACCGTTAATATCACTAAAGCTGATCAATACACTAGAGAGTTGTTTACATATCCCTAGCTTGTAATAATCACATGTCGCTTTCGTCAGTAGTGTCTCATCTGACCCTGCCTATACCAATACTGTTAAATCAAATTAAATACTTATCTAGTACAAAAATATTTATGGAACACAGAAGTTAAGATTACAACATAAAACATAATATTACCAAAAATAAACGTGTGGGTAATCCGAAAACGTCGTCAGGTCACGAACCAAAACAAATCACTTCTTTGGCAATTTCTTCCTTAATTTAAGGTTTGGTACGATTGAATTAGTCGAATTACTTTATATTGAATAATAGAAACTCACTCTGTGTTCGTGTCTGACGAATTCCATCGTTCAAAGGCAGTACATCTGCTTCTTTTGCTAGGTAATATCTTCTGTAACAGTGCCATCGTCCGCCATAACAGATCTTCTGTCACATGACTCACGTGGGGCAAGACCCGAGTTTGTATCCTTTCTTGTGATTGGTTAAAAGCTCGAAGTTGAAAATTGGCATTTCGCCAATAGTCACATGCTTCTGCTGTAGAGTGAATATCATGTGACAAAGGTGACGAAGGGCCACACCGTCTTATGTGATCATTTTAGACGAAAACAGCTGTAGACTAGACAATTGATATTGTTTTTATTGATAACGCCAAGTCCTATAAATTGGGTCATTCTGTTTTAGCGGTTTAAATAGCCAACTTGCGACGCATAATCATGTGTAGTTAGTTTATTTTTCACTTAACAGATTTCACGTCCACTATTATGGCCTTTCAGTTGACGATTTATCACTTTGCGTGTCCCCGTGATTATGACTAAAATTAAAAATTGTTCTGCGTTTGTGCTTTATGTCTCAGCTATTAATGGTTCGGTAAAATCATAAAGTCGCTTAAAATACTAGGGTGAAAAATACGTCAGCCGACTTCGTTCAAAAGTAGTCATAATAATTTCTTTTCAACTATCCCGATGCCATACGTAGAACACGAGATTTTACTGGGTATGTCTCTTGCACAGTGCTCGTCTAAACGAAAATTCACACTTGCCAAAGCTAGTAAGGTGACTTGTACTCTCAACTTCCACATTTGATTAGATGGTCAATACATACACAGCATATCCTATAGTTATAACGAGGGTTTGGTTACAGACATATAATATGTGTGGTGACATGGATGCCTGTGCAGATGGTTCAACATTTAAAGCTCAATGTTTACCCCAACAATCACATATAGCGCAGATGGAAGGAAACGATAATATAAATAGCAGCACATTTTGTGTACATTACAGATATGACAGGTCCCCTTTGTGTTAAATTTTAGCACAAAAAAGACGGGAAAGCCGTTTCAAGGATATGATGAATGATATAGTGTATTTATGCTCGCTTGATAGATACATTAGTAGATTTGATTACACTTACCAGTATTAGAAATGTAATAATTTATTAACCAATAATTACCATGTTTTCATAACCTGTAAGCTCATCATCCCATCTTGGAAAGAAGTTTTTATGAAGTAGCAGATGTAATTATTTTTTAGTTGCTACGATGTGTTTGTGTTCACCATCAATAGGGAAGAGTGACATGGCAGCTAAATGAGGTTAGTATCCAAGCACATGTTGAGTAGTACAATGTTATGTCACATCATCGTTCAGATTTTTCTGTCTATACAGACTGCATTTGATTTTTTAAGCAAAGCCATAATCTTTCTTCTCTATCATGGCTAATGCTCACAAACAAGTGTGTTGAAAACAGTCTTGGTGGTCAGAACTTTTTACATGACGGCAACATGTATAGGGCGAAGTTTGCTCGTGGTGAAAGGTATATCCAATATTATTGAAAATTTATACATGATTATAAGATATGTAACTTAATATTTTTCCTTTTTTTCTACTTTTCTTTCAGTTACATTTGTTTTTATTTCAAATACTGTAGTTTTATATCAAATATTTTCTCTTTCTTTATAAGTGTTGGTTCGGGTACCGTCTTTATGTAATGTATGGTAAGTAAGGTAGATGTTGCATATTATCTATGATAGATCACTTATTTCAATATTAGTTTTATTACAGGTACTTTTCTCTTCATATTATAATAATTTTAGAAATATGTTAGAATGTAGTACCAAATCATCAAACATAATGATGTTATTTATATATGTTGTAGTGCTGAATGAAGTCAAAATTAATCATTCAGTATTTTTCATAAAATATATATATATATATACAGATGTGTTTATTCTAATATTTCAGTCATATGAAGGTTATGAGAAACACAGGTAAATCTCTGGTAAAAATCCATGTAAGAACAGGGCAGCTTATAAGAAACCGTATAAAATTACACCGCCAGTTCCTAAAACGACACCATCCTATTGTTTAAAAAAGGTTGGAACACGGAAAATACCCCTTTCGTGACGCTTTCGATCGCTAACATTAAGCATGAAACGTTACAATAAATTATAAAACGATAAACCAAAAAAATATTATTCATTATAGATATTTGAAAAAAATCGACCATGAAGCTTTCAGTGCTGATGTTGAAAATGTAACATTGTCATGTTTGGATGTTTTTGGTGATGTAAATGTCTTATTTCATACTTTCCAATCTTTGGTCATTTATGTTGTCGATAAGCATGCCCCTATTAGGAAAAGGAAGGTACGTTATCCCAAAATACCAGAATAGTGACATGATGACATAAATGTAGCTATACAAATACGGAAAAAACACAAGCGTGAGGGACATAGACATTTACTGTAAATGGAGAAAATTTCGAATGTAAAAACGTAAAATTTCCAAAAACTACTGGAATAATTACGAAGTTATGTCCCAAAAATTTTAACCCATTCCTAGTTCTGTAAAAGACTACAATGATAAAAACTGGTGATACTGAGATAGGAAATTGCTTAAGTGAGTATTTCAAAAATACAGCAACCTCTAATATGTAAACGAAACGTGAAAATGACCTCTCAGGACTATTGCAAAAACTTGAAATGTACACTCGAGAAAAACTATGATATTCCAAAGGTTGGTGTACTTTTTAAAGAGTTTTTTCTGACCTGAAATTTCAATAAAACCACTGATTTAGACAATACTAGCGTATTAAAAAAAAAATATTGTGACAAATCTAATGCTTCAGCTACTGTTGGACGTTTGTATTGACACAAAATATTTTCCTGTAGTTTCGAAATGTGCTCAAGTAAGCCCTCTTTTTGTTTTTATGGTTTTTTGAATGTGACATTTAAGCACCTTAATTGGTTTCCTTTTTGTAAACGAGTTTTATACAGTCAAGTTGTTTCAATGTACAAGGTGCTTAATAATTTAGCTCCACAGAATTTGAATTGTTTCACCTATATGTCTGATGTTCAAAGCACGATGGCGACCATGCATGTTTAGCAGATTGGTTTGAAAAAATGACCCCTGAAATAAATGTATTTATAAACTACATAACAATTACAAATGTATGTGAGAGAGATATGAATTGTGTAAACAAAAACGAAAAATCACCAGATTTCTATCATGTGAAAACCAACTAAAAAATGTTGGAATTTTCTTTCCACCAAAAATTACACCCTTGAATCAGAAATCTACTATATCTGAAAGTGATTTGTCTTAAAAGGAACGTCACTGTCACGGTTATTAGTTAATTAGTTAAAGAAAATCCAAACTAGGAACAACTTCACAACTAAAAAAAAAAAAAAAAAACCTATACATGAATCTCCACAATGCCTTCTTTAACATGTCTATATCAATTTTTAGTGAAAAAATATTTCTTTTTATTTAATAAAAGCCTTTAAAGTGGAATAATCTAACGAACAAAAACGCCATGGCCACGCCGAGAAACTATTTATTGGATGTACTGTACCAAGGAATGCAGCGATACTATGATTTGCAAAGCCGTGTCATCTTGAATAAGGCACGGGCGCGGACCATATATAAAATAAATGTTCTTTGTCCATTTCCCCCCATTTCTTTGTTTTGAAAGTACTTTTCCAACGATTCCGATGAAATCAATAAATCAAAAAGATACATGTAGTTTCTTTATTTGCTTTTTCCTGAACACACTTCGTTAGCGCTCTTGGTGACCGTGCGGTAAATTAGATTTATTTCCCCTACCTACTTCCTTTTCCGCCTTAGCCCCCATCGAAAAGCAGGGTAAAATCCCAACTCATTGCAAAATCTATATCCATCCTCATGTTAATATTGAAATAATCCAAACAAAAAGCAACAATTTAATACGAAACGTTACTTTTACGATGTATTTCTCATTAAGTTCACTGTTTTGAAGGGATGGAATCAAATTGAATAGTTGAAAGCAAATGTAAACACAGCATGTATGAATGGTCTAGTATACGTTTTATGGACCCTCCTGAACATCAAGACACAAAGATCTTCATTGTTATGTTGTTTGTAGTTCCACGGAAAAGATTAACACCAACACGTGCTCATAATATTTTCATCTCGGATATCTAAATAACGACACTTACAAACACCATCGACATTGGCCAAAGGAGTAATGCCTAGATTTTCATGTCAATTCTGAACACAGAATATGCCATCAGTCTTATTCCGATGGGTTATGGTTATTTATGCCCGTTATTTGTTTTTATCGACTGCATTGCAGACAAAATAAAATCGTGCATATATATATGGGAACTACGAACCGATTGGAGTAACAGACGAATATAGTAAAATCCTAAGGTTTCTTACTATCGCCGCTTTTACCATATATTTTTCTGTCAGAATTTAACTCCTAGCATGAAAACATGACATTTTATCAATTTATTTTCAATATGTATGAATGGCTATCATTAAATCATATATGTTGATGCAAAGAAAATATTTTGTTAGTCTAGTTAGGTGTCAAAGTCATGATTGTTAACTAAATTCGATATATCCACTCTTCTTCTGACAACTACAGTTTCAAGTACATTATCGGATCTAAATGATTATCAAAAGTGCCAACTGTATAATTGACTACTCAAACCATAACCAGATAACCTGATTTGGTGTTTATTACTCTGCTGTTGGATGTTGAAAATGTTGTACCGTGTTTACCCTCGTTGGTTCACACACAGTTCACTACTGTATACTGTGCAATACACAACATACAGAGACAAAGATGACAAGGAATCTGTTTCATCCAGGTTAACCATGTACATCTGGAAAACTACATAAACAAATCAGCAACTAGTTGTATATGTAAACTTATAGTCATAAAGATGAGGCATGGATTACTGAGATATGAGCAGGGTAATGAATTTTTGCTGTACAGGACACTGACTAGTTATCAGATAGTTTAAATGCTAACCAGATAACATTTATCAGAAAGTACCAACCGAATCGTGAATTGTATCTCTGGTTTCTAGTTCTGGCACTAGTCATCAT